TCAAAATATTGGGATTAATAAGAATTTGAAATGGGAATGAACTTGAATCCATAGTGCAGAATAAATTAATGGATTGATGAATTTAGCTTTTCAAATTTTGCACTATGTGAATAATTAATCATTTTTTTATAAGGGGATGCATAGATTCATGGATTAATACAATTATTAGGTTTATCTATTCCTTTCAATTCTCATTATAAGACAGATTTAACTATCTCATTAAAACTAAAAAGATATGATTAAATTATTAATTTTGTCTACAAATAAAATAAACTTCTAATTTTACCCCACAGTTAAATAAAAATTTTTCAAATTTACATTACATTCTCTTTTATAGTTAATGAATTTAAATAAAAATAATATCAAAAATAGTAATTAATATCTTATCAAGTGTCTTATATTAAGAATTAAATTAGAATTCTTCTTGTCAAATTAGAAACATCACTCTTGGCATGCACACTCAAATTTTCTTGATACTTATTTGTACGGTTGTACCCATAAGGCATAAACTTGAATTCTTAATTAGATCACTTTCAATTTTATTTAATTAAATAGTGGCCATAATTTTTTAATATTTATGTGCGTCCTAAATATTGAATTTTTCATTATAACAATTAAGTATATAATAAATATACTGTTGATTTATCAGTTTATTGTGCAAAGATGCTTCTGATTTCATGGCTCGCAAGTTATTACATTTTTCAACTTAAGACTAATTCATTCATTTCACTCTCTGTTTTTTACCCGCTCCAGAGTTGATATAACCATATAAAGCTCATATATTGAACCTAAGCCAATTTTTGAATTGAAGCAAAAAGATAGTTTTTGGGCTTTTGCATTAGATTTTGCTTTATTGGTTAGCAATTATTAAACTATTAGTGCTAAAAGCATGGTGGGATTTGAAGATGTATTCCAATTAGGGCAATTAATTAATAACAAAAGAGCATATTTAGGCGCATTCATTGGATTTTCATGTCATATCATGTCAAGGACATTTACTTTTAATATTAATAATAATTTAATATTCTGAAGTAGGCTATATTTGCTTATCTTATTATGCTTTGGTAAAAGTTAAATGATTTGATAATAAAACTAACATAGCAAGTTGCCCATAGTTTACCAATTCCATTACAATCAAATCACTATTAGCATAGTTGTGTTAGTTGATTTTTTTAAAAAAAAACCTATGGCTGAGAGAGAACTAAATATCTTTATTAATTACATATCTTTTTTTTCATGCTAGACAATTATTTAATTTTTTTTTTAAGATTGTACCCATCTTTCTAACATCCAAACTCTATTTAAATATATAAATATATATTGATAAAATAAAACCAAAATTACATGCTACCCAATAAATTTGTGGAGAAAGATTGGTGTAAGAAAAAAAGAGTTGTATGAAACATGAGAAGAATAACACTATATGTAATTCATGAAGTAATGTGAATCCCTATATAATTTATATGTTATATTCATGATAATAAATATTATAGCATATCACAATTTTCATAGCATACACAAAGAAAAAGGGGGGAAAGAGAGTTAGGTGGATGATGCACCATAATGAAAAAATGGTCCTTCTTAAAAGAGGTGAAATCATTTGAATAAACATTTCACCAAAAGGTTGGTTTACTTCTAGATCCACTTTACCAATTCAATGCAACTATAAGAGTTAAGCATATAAATTATATGTATGCTATATTTCATATGCAAATAGAACAACAACAATAAATTTTATCTTATTAGATAAGGTTAGCTATATGAATTATACAATACATTTACACTCTATCTGATATGCAATTAAAACAAGAGTTAAAGAATGAAAATTTATTAAAGTTATCATTATTTTTATTTAAAAGTTATTCAAAAAAATTAAGTGATAATATTATTTATTATTACAATAATACCTTTTTTGAGTGTTTGTTCATTCCTTGTTAATAGTATGCTGTTATATCAACCATGACCTTAAATATAGTATTAGCATAATTTGCTTCCACTAATGAGAAACTAAAAAACTCTGGGAAAAAAAAAAACGCAACCCATAAAGAAATATCTCTGCCATATTTTATCTTTCCTTCCAAGGTAAATACTTTCTTACTTATAAAAAAATATTTTCTTTATTGGCTTCATTTGTTTTAAATCGGAGACCTACTGAAAGAGATGGATAAGCATGTTTAAAACTTTTGCATTACCTTTCTAATTGTAGATTTTTTTATGGATAGACTATATCTATTGGTGAGGTGAGAAAAATTTTAAAAGAACCAAAGAGAGAACAATAAATAAATAGACAATAAAGTTTGCTTGAAAAAGTTTTGTTACCTTTTTCACCAAATTTTGCAACCAGAAGGGTCCTATACTCTAAAGAAAGAGATTCTGATTTTTTTAATTTTATTATGATTATACTGACTAGACAAATAACTCCCCTTTTTTAAAACTGAATTTTTATTTGGAAACAAGGTTGCTTCTTTAAGACTCTTGAATATTTAATGCTCTATCCTTTATATTCAAGTATATAGGTAACATTATTTTTTTAAAAAATACTTTTCCCTTTTCAAAAGAGAAAAGGTTACTCATATGGCGATGAAGTCCATCTGGCCTAATAATATTCCTAAATTATTATTAGTTAGTAAGAAAAACTGGCTTGTGAACAAATGAATACAATCAGTGATTAATTAACTTGACATTGATGCTTTCATCTTTCTTAAACATAATTTCCCCCATATTAGATAATCAAGTTGCTATTATGAAAATATTTGAAGTAATATTTTGAGTGACTGTTAAGATTCATGATGAAAAGGGTGGTTTGAGACTTGCAATGATGAATATAAAACTAACACGATAAAAACATCAACGAAAAACAAGAGAAATAATATTATATATATATTGATACTGTAAAGATATGGTTGTCTGAGGATTAAACATTGGTTACCAACCTCACTTTATATCATATTAGCATTTAAGGAGGGCATTTTAAATAGCCAGCTAAGCTAATATATAGGCCAAATGACCAACTTTTAAAATTAATTAATTAACCAAAATATTGACAAATGTGACTCAAATTGATTTGTCTTCAACTACCTTGGCCTTATTACCTAAATGCAAGGTGCCAAAAGAACCTAACATTTATTCAAAACATATTTTGATCATTTGAAATTTAATTTAACCCATTAAAATTAATTTAAATATATTAATTTTTTTAATTAAAATTTCTCAAAACTACAGTTTATATGTAACTGGGTGTATTACATTATTTATGAATATTTTATCTTCTTGTCTATTTTGTATTTTATATTAATATTAATATTTTATAATAATAATGATATTGATATAAGAATCTCAATGTTTTTTATTAATAAAATTAAATTTCAAATAGCAAACTATCAAAATAAAATAATAATGATCTCATGTTTTTTTTAATGCTATATTTTTAACCCTTGAAAATATTAATCAGTCAATATTATCAAATATAAATCAATATTTTACCTATTTTACGTATTTTAAACATAATTGTTATAGTTATATTCGTTAATTAAACAAAATTTCATCCTTTTAATATTTATTCGTTACTAAATAAGTAATTATTTTAAATAATTATATAATAAAATACTAGTTTATATTTAATAATTAATTGTATCATAGTTAATACTATGATATTTCCCCCCAAAAAAAGATGTTTAATGAAAATAAAATTATGATCTCATTATATAAAAAAAAAAAAAAAAAAAGAAAAAGTTCAACTTGAAGTTCTCAGTGACTACATATTTGATTGATTAAGAAGGTTCATGATAACTTTTTTGGAAAAAATGCATAATACAATTTATTATCTGGAAAGCAAAAAGCTGATATAATCTCTGATGGGTAACTTTCCAGTTTCCATCTTCCAGCATTTTGAAACTCTGCAATTTCTAAACTGAGGCACTTGGCACGTGAAGTGGGAACAAAGAAACAGACACAAAACACCAAAGCATTGAACTGTTCCTTCTTAGTGTCCCAAAGCAAACTTCAACATTATAATATTCTTTCTCTGCATGCTTAGTGTCTCTTCCTTTCTGATACTGCAAAAATATTATTCTAAGGCTCTTAGCAACGCAACATGACGATTCCAAACTTTGCTATCTACTCAATGGGGTCCACTACACTCCATTAATATGGAAAATGGAGGTCTTAATCTCTTGTCACTATCTCTTTGGCTTATTATAAATAATTATTATCATATGGCAAAATTGCTCCATTATTCTACACCTCGCTTTCTGAAAAAAATTTGCTTCTTTCATGTTAGTGAGCAGAGCACTGGCTGGTTTTGAATCAAAACCATTTGTCATCAAATTGATTAATAATTAACCCAATAAATATGTCATGGGGTTTGACATATTGTGTGGATTATGTTGTAGGGTTCTTGTTTCATACTAATAACAAGAGTCATCTTGCCCAATGATTAATGAATAATTCATGTTTTATATGTAAGATAGAGCTGATTCTTATTTTAGTTTACAGACATTTGAATTAATTTTCTCTTCTTTTCCTCCTTTCTTTCTTTTTTGATAAAATTATGGACTCGTAATGTTGACTTTGAGTTGCGTGTAATAAAATTCATTTTTAGTCCAATCAAAGTTTAGGACATTCTGGACTAGGCTTAGAGATTTACAAGAATATTCTTTGGAGTTAAGTTTTAAAATGATTAGTATAGGATGAATTCAAAGTTCAAACCATTGATATTATATTCAAAGAACCTTAGCTTAGGTCACAAGTGTGAGTTTTATATACTCTAGGCGTAATTTATTTTCTTTGGTGAAACAATTCTTTTCTTATTATTTTATAATCATTTTTTATTTAGATTCACAAATGCCATTCCTTATCTAAATTTTTTAAATATGATTTCTCAATCATATTACATTCTGGGCACCAAAAGAACCCTTGTTTATCACAACCATGGATAGGAGAAGATGGAATCATGAATTGATAATCAGCAATAGGGGGAAAAAAAAATCTTCAACTTGAGATAAGTAGGAACACATAAATCCTTTATTTATTGAAGTTTTACTTCAATTTTGGGCTACAAATGGAAGATTCCATGAACAAGTAGAAATATGAATTTTACAATTCAGCAGCGCTTGTTCTGGAATCAGACGTGTCCTTTCGTTGTTGGCTTTTTGAGGATTCAAAAAAGGCAAAAAGAAAAAGAAAAAAACCAAGAAACAAAAACATCTAACAAAGTTTATAGAACAGCTTCAAGGGGACATCAGCAATGTGCCCTTCAACCCCAAAACATACCAAACGAACAATGAAGAGGTCATTTCTGAAACCCACAAAACAATAAGCTATTATGTGCAAGCAATGGAAAGAGCTAACAACTCAAAGCAACACTCCGAGAAACAACCAGATCTTCCTGCAATTAACTAGGAATTAGCTTCAGCTGCCTGAGAATTCAAATCTGAGCCAGAATTATTACCTTCTTGTTTTGGACACAAATTTGAGCTCCCATCACCAACAATTTGGCCTTCACTCAAACCAAAAGCATCTTTATCTGTACCACAAGCCCTGTAAAGATTGATCCCTCTTGTGAAATATCGTCCACTACCAAACCTTGAGCTAGAAACTCGATAACCAGATTTATCTGGTTCCTCAGGGTTATTCATAAGTTCCATCAAGTTGCTTCTGAACCCCAGATCAGAATACACTCTCCTTGAATATCTATTCGCAGATTTAGACAATCTAGCATCTAAAGCTTCAAAATTTCCACCTTCTAAACCTTCTTCTTGTCTTGGACCCATATGGGCATTTCTGGCTTCAATTGGGCGTCCCACAGTCTCAATCATCATACAAGGATTGTTAAAACCATTCCAAGAATGAAGAGGTACCAGTTTACACAACCCAGTAATCCAAGCAACTATCTCCTTCATTGAAGGCCTTCTTTCTCTGCAAGACCTCACACATTTTGCAGCAATTACAGCCAGTTGCTTCCTGACAACTGGATCCTTAGGAGGTGATATCCTCGGATCATAAACAGCCAATAACTTTCCTTTCTTTATGAGAGGAATGGCCCAATCCACAATGGAAGGTGGTGAATATGTAATATCAATGGCTTTTCTACCGCTAATTATCTCTAACAGCAAAATACCAAAACTAAACACATCAGTTTTTGTACTCAAGTTATCTGGGGTAACATAGCAAGGATCAAGATACCCCATAGTACCTGCTGGAGGAGTAGACCTGAGTCTGTAATCATCTTCATGGCCTCGCAGGGCTAACCCAAAATCTCCCAATCGAGCATTGTAGTTTCGATCTATAAGAATATTTGCAGATTTGATGTCTCGGTGAATTACAGGTGGGGTTGAGGAATGGAGGGTATCGATAGCCTTTGCAGTTTGCAGAGCCAACCGAATTCTCCGACCCCAATTGGGTGGTCGTGCAGAAGAATGAAGAACATCGTAGAGGGTTCCATTACTCATGAACTCCACAACCAGAAGCCTATCTTTCGAATCGTTCGTGAAACCCACCAAATTGACCAATCTGGGGCTCTGAATTTTCGACAAGATGTCGATCTCGTTATCCACCTCGTTCGTGATCTCCGGCGCCGACGAAGAAGACAACAGACTGGGTCGTCGAAGAATAGCACCGTGAGCTCTTGATGGCCTCTTGACGGCGACGGGACGGCCACGAAGAACGGCCTTGTAGACATAGCCATGGCTACCTTTGCCTAAGAGCTTTCGGTCGGAGAAGCCATTAGTGGCGGCTTCGAGGTCACTGTAGTCGAAATGTTGGATCATGACAGGTTTCTCAGGTTTTTGAGCTGAGGAAGAGGGTTTAGAGGAGGAAGATGGGAGCGCAGAATTGGAAGTTGAAACAGCAGATTCAGCTCTACAAGAGAAGTACCCCATCAAAGATTACTGGTTAGGGGTTTGACAAAAGAGAAGTGAAAGCAGAGAGAAGATAAGAAGAACGTGAATCAGATGAAGATGCAGATGGGAGGAAGGTGAAGGGCATTTATCGGGCTGTGTCCGAGGAAGGAGGAGGACGAGAGAGAGAGAGAGAGAGAGAGAGACTGAAAACGTCCACGAAGAAATCACGAGGATTAAGACCGAGGATGATAATGCATGAACAGAAAGGGAAAATAAAAACAAAACTAAAAATAAAATAAAAAAGATTGAAGCTTTGTATTGTATTGCGTAATGTCTGGATAAATGTCCCTCTAATTCTGGTCAAAGTTAATTTAATTTCCTTTTCTTTTCCTTCGCCTTGTCCGCCTCTTTTGAAGTAACTAACTCCCAAAACGACGTCGTTTTGAGGGTCATCCTATTAAAAAACAGAAATCAGGCGACCATCCTAACTCCTAAGTCTGTGGCTCTGTGCGACTGTGCCTCACTGCCTCTGTGTCTCAATCTCGCGACGAAAGGCGAAGCCATAGCTGATAGCCTGATAGGAATCCGAAGGTCGAACACAGTTCACGTTGTCCCAGTCTGAAGTTTACCGGTTTTCCCTCGTCTCGTCTCATCTCTGGCTGAATCTGGATGCTAAACAGGTAAATACCGTCTCATCTCTGGCTGAATCTCGTCTCATCAGCCCTAACCTTTTGCAAGAATACCCAGGATGTTCATCAGCTTCTTTGCTTGTCTCTGTGTCTATCTGATTTTCTTTTCATCCATTGATATGGCATCGCAGTTTGTGCTCAGATCCGCCTCCTTCAGTCTGTGAAAACTGAGAAGCCATCTCTGCTAATACTCAGGTAATTATAACATTTTTATGCGACAAAATCTCTTGCGATTTGCTGGTTTTCTCAATAAACGAGCTACAGATTTTAGATGCAATCACCAAATTCTGATGTTTGTTGTTTGAATTTATTTTGCATTACACGGATTTGTGTTGAATGATTTTCTCTTGGCTCTTTTAAATTTCAAGTTCAACTGAAAATTTCCTTGTGTGGGTCTTTGTTTTCACTTTTCTTTGTCATTTTAATGTTTACATAATTGCAACTGCTTAAAATATATATAGTATTCCTTTAGTAGCATTCTATTGCAGTTGTCTTCTTCAGCTCTTTGGATCTTGCAAAAAGACAGTAGTTAGAAGTTGCAATAAACGTGATTCAGCATACATACATACAAAATAGCTGTTGATTACATATATGCATTCCTTAGGAAGATATGCAGGGAGCATAGTGGAAAAAGGAAGGGGTATGCTGAGTACATGATCACTAAACTGATTTTGCTTTTTTTTTTTAGAGTTGTGCCTTCAGAGAGAGTGGTCAATCAATAAACATTTCTGTATGTATGCTGATTTGCTCTGGTTGTTGAAAATTAATTCGAGCTTTATGTTACTCTTATTTGTGTACTGTATTCTGGATTTCTAGCTGCTATGATTGCTCCGGCTGCTCTGTTTTTTTTTTTGCATTAGATGTTTGTTTATGTTGAAATTATCATAGCTTGCAGATTAAAGTTATAATATGGATATTGGAAGTAATTTTAGTAATGATGGAACTGAGAATCCTACCTCAAATTCCAACAATCCTACTCCCAATTCCAACAATCCCACCCTTGCTAGCCATAATGACTCCACATCTGGAACTCCATTAGTTCGCAAGAAAAAAGATCCTGCATGGGCACATGTTGCTTTAAGAAAAGAAGGCAACAAAAATGTGTATACATGTCTTTATTGTGCATTGAGTTATAAAGGACGTGGAATAAATAAATTGAAGCATCATCTTACTGGTATTAGTGGAAATGTAGTTTCTTGTAGTAAAGTTCCTTTTGATGTTCGTTATCAGATGCAAGAATCATTAAAAAGTGGGAAGAAGAGAAAGCTTGTCGATGTGCAAGCAGACATGGAGGAACATGTGTCTAATGCTAATGAACCCAATGCACCTGCTCCATCTAAGTCAATCCCTGAGAGTAGTGCCAGTAAAAAAAAACCTCCTACTATGCCAGTTGAAAATTATTTTGCCTCTAGGACAACTTCAGGTTCCCAACCAGGTATTAAGAGTGCATTTGTAACTAAAGAAGCACAACATAGTGCAAAAATGGCCATTGCTGAATGAGCTATCATCAATTGCATTCCATTTAATGCATTAGATTGCCTATTCTTTAAAAAAGCTGTGGATGCTATTGCTTCAATTGGGCCTGGGTTTAAGGGTCCTAATGCTTATGAATTTAGAGTTAACTTGTTGAATGATTGGAAAAAAGAATGTCAGCTACTTATTGAGAGTCATCGATCTAAATGAAAAACTTATGGATGTACACTCATGGCCGATGGTTGGACAGATGTGAGGCAACGAACTTTGATAAATTTTCTTGTCTATTCTACACATGGCATAGTATTTGTGAAATCTGTTGATGCTTCTGATTTAATAAAAGATGCCAAGACTTTATTCTCATTGTTTTCTGAAGTGATTGAGTGGGTTAGTCCGTACATGTGGTGACTGATAATGCTACTAATTATGTAGCATGTGGCAAGTTGATTAAAGAGAAATATAAAAGTATTTATTGGTCACCTTGTGCTGCTCATTGCTTGAATCTTACTTTGAAAGACATTGCAAGTATGTCTCATGTGTCACAACTTGCAACAAAGGCATCAAAGATCACTGTGTTTGTTTATAATCATATGGTCTTCCTGTCATGGCTTAGGAAAAGAAAGGGTTGGAAAGAAATTGTGCGTCCTGGTGCGACAAGGTTTGCTACAACATTTATCACATTGCATAGCATATATATGCACAAGCATGACTTACAAGCTTTAATCACTGATAAGCATTTTGTGAATCACAAATTATCAAGGACCGAAGCTGGATAATTGTTAGTGCCATCATATTAGATAATCGATTTTGGAATGAATGTCTTGAAGTTGTGAAGATTGTGTCTCCTCTTATAAAGTTGTTGAGAATTGTTGATTTAGATGAGAAGCCTTCTTTGCCTTATGTTTATGAAGGCATGCAAAAGGCAAAAAAAGCAATTAAGGCAGTCTTCACCAATAAGAAAGACCAATACAAGCCTTACACAAATATAATCCAAGCCCGATGGGATAAGCACTTGAAGACTAATCTTCATGCAACAGCATATTTGTTGAACCCTGCCTTCTTGTATGATGATGACTTTGTTCACAAAAGAAGGTTAATGGATGCTATGCTTTCAGTGTTTGAGTCAACTGAAAATAAAGATATTGATTATATTGTGATGATGAAGCAGTTGAGCTTGTATCGTGACCGTAAAGAATTTTTTGATAAAACTTCATGTCATAGAGCAGCACAGAAGCTAGACCCTTGTAAGTGTTAATATTTAATATGATCATGGTAATTTTATTTATCATATAACATATAACTAATTGTCTTTTATTTGTAGATGAATGGTGGTCTTTTTATGGAAGTTCTGTTCCAGAGTTGCAAAATCTTGCAATGCGTATTCTTAGCCAAACTTCTTCCTCTTCTAGTTGTGAGAGAAATTGGAGCTTGTTTGAACGCATCCATACCAAAAGAAGAAATAGATTGGAACATCAAAGACTAAATGATTTAGTCTTTACAAACTACAATCTACGATTGAAGAATAGGTAATAAAAATAAAAGTTATGAATGTTTTTCATAAATAAAAATTTTATTACTACCTCATGGTAGATATATATTTATATTTGATTGTTTTGATCTCATTAAAGGAGCCAATTGAAGAAAAAACAAGTTTTGATCCAATTGATTATGAATCTATTGACAAATTGGACTTTTGGATTGCTGAAGAGGAATAAGAGCCAGCTCCAGAGTTTGATGCTGATGATGTCATTAATTTGGAAAGTGCTATGCATAATGAGAATGTTATAGCTTCATCAGCTTCTGAGAGAAATAATGAAGGTTCATACTTACTAACATGTCTATCTATATTAATATATAATTATTTTTTACACAATGATTAATGTTAATTTTTGTCATCAATAGGTGAAGAAGATATGAATATTTCAGAGCATCCATATTTGAATGATGATGTTGGAAGTGGTTCTGGTTTCTCTCAATCATCTCCTAATGTTTCAATTCTTACTCCCGCAGATTTGAATGAAATTAATGAGGATATTGGTGTTGATTATTATTAACTTTAGACTTTTTGATGATTAAAGGATTGTAAGGATGAATATTTTAAATGTTGTGTTTTTAATGATGTTTTGATGATTATCATGGACTTGTATATGATATTACATAAGATATTAAGTCTTAGAGAATTTGTTTTTATTTAAATCATATTATTTTATTATGTCCGATTTGAATCCGGGTTGACCAGCGGTTGAACCCTTGACCCCCTGACCCCCAACTTTGACCGGTTCTATGGCCGGTTCAGTTTTCAGTACCTTGGCGGAAAGGAAGAAAAAGAAAAATCTTTTTCTAAATAAGAATAAAAGTAACATTTGATAACAATAATATTTGAATTCCTTTTTAAAGATGTGTCTATATTTAACACTTAACTGTATCTTTAATAAAATTAATTTCAATAAAAGAATATAAGTGATAAAAAAAGGTAAAAATGCACTTACAAATACCAATATTTAGCTGGCAAAAAAAAATACAATATTTACAAACTATAGTGAATTATTTTAATTTATATGTAGTCCTTGAATATTTGATAATAATTTTTCACACGTTCATTTAAAAGACCCCAAAAACAAAAATCCCTTCCTTACCTAACAGGAATAATTAAGCTTAAGTCAACACACAATACAATATCCTCATAAGTTTACCTCAGCTGAAATATCAAATTACATATTAATTTCATCATCTAAATTCTCAATTTTTACATGAAAATATCATAATTTTTTATAAAATAAAAAATGGAACTTGTTTATGATATGAAAATTAGATTTTTTTTTCAAATTTTATTATCAAATCCCTTTCAATAATTTTTTTTTAATTTGAGTTTGTGGTAAGTTTGGTGCAATGTGTAATTCTTGATACCCACTCATGTTCGTTTGTAGATAAGAATGAATGTGGGGTGTGTAAGAACCTATGACTAGTCATTCTTAATTCTTTGCATTGCCATACAGATCAGGGAATCTTGTTTTCACAATTGATATAAAAAGCTTAGAAATTTTTTTTATATTGACTTTTTAAAAAAAAAGTTAGACACTTTTCCTTGTGCATTACGTAGAATTTGAGAAATAAATTATATTGTTCATATTTTGTGAATAACATAACTTTCGATAAATTTTATATTTCATAAAACTATTTTTCATGCATTATATGAAATTTGAGAGATGAATTATTGCATTTATGTTTTATAAAGAGTACAACATTACCATGTATTTTATTTCAGATGTATCGATGTCTTAATATTGATATTAAATTAGTAATCATTTACTGTAATATACAAACTTGTATAATAAAATTTTGGTTTTTATCTTTGTTTATGTAATAAAGAATTAAATTAGTCTCTTTCCATTAAAAAAGTTCATCAAGACAAAAATATATATTTTTTAAAATAAAAAGCCCATAATTTGGTTGGTAAGGGGTTTAGGCTCCATCATGAAGGATGCGGTCCTTGTATGAGGCCTAATACTAGTCTTGTGCATGACCAGTCAACACATTTGACCCCAACGCAATTCAAAAAGAAAGAAAGAAGAATTTAATATAGATTTTTTATTCAATATATATTGTGACGTAATCGACCTTGCTCCAAGCGATGCTGATGCATTTGCTTACACTTGATATATTTTACATTGGTAATGATTTATTACGCTGATATTCCTTTCATTTTTAAATAATTCACCAACAAAAGTTGGTTTAATTAGTAGTAAGTTTTAAAAAATTTTAAAACTTCAATTCAATCTAAGGAGATAAAAGTAAAAATAATTTTAAATGTGAAAAGATCAAGCTACCTTTTACTTATTATATAAAATTATTAGTTGTTTAATTTTTTTTATTTCACTTGTTAATTTATTAATATAAGTTATAAATTAAATGAGTCGATACATTAATAATTATATAAAATTTGATATCAATTGTTAAATTATTAGCTTTACCTATTAATTTACTAATATCAATTATAAATTACGGGTCTTATAATTTACTAATATTAATTGTAAATTACTGACATATCTTGTAATTTATAATTAATGTTAGTAAATTAATAAGTAAAGTTAGTAAATTAACAATTAATGTTACTGTTTGTCTAACAAATAAATATAATTTATACATAATATTAATAAATTAATAAGTAAAAGTAAAAAAATTAACAACTAATTATTCTTCATAACAAGTAAAGAATACTTTAATCCTTTCACAATTAAAATTATTTTTATTTTTATCCTTTAAAAATGAACTGAAATTTTAAAATTTTTTTAAACCTACCAATGACCAAGTCGAATCACTGGTTCTTATTTGAAATTCTGCCAAGATTCAATGTCACTAGGGGCACCTAAAGTATTATTCGACCTATCACCTATATAATGCAAAAAATTGTGTAACCCCTGGACTGATACTTGAAATACTACAATATAAAAAAGATTAAAATAAAAATGTTATAAAAATGAAAACTATACTAATATCTTTAATTTTAAAAGTAAAGAAAAAACTATTGAATATTAACTAGCATAATGATCGAAAGAAAGATAATGGAGTTGGCCCAACAAAAAAAGCAAGATAAGAGAAATGTTACTGGATAATACAGATACCATGAAAGATATGATGAGAAAATTAACATTCATGTAATGTTATAATATTAATAACAAGAAGAAAGATCATGGGAGAAGATGGCAAAAATTTACCTCCCAATGCATGAACCTACGTCTAAATTAAGGTGAAAAAATCCACATGTAATTTAAGAATTTACACGTGTATTTGATTTTGTACTCAATATTACCATAGCTATGATTTTAATGGAAAACTAAATAAAGGAGTGGATAATTTTAGAAAATCAATAACCAGAAAAAAGGGGGGAAATGAATCAAGTCATTCTCCTCCACTTTCTACAGAATTACATTACCAAGAAGTTTCATTTGGACTCTTTCTTCCCCTCGCTCATTATTATTAGCATACTCTGAACCATAGATGCCGATCATTTTCTAAAAATAACTATAGAGAGGTCACTGCAAGGAAGGAAGGAACTGTGTTAGCCACCATAGTTTCATCACAAACCTGTTGGATCATGCATCAAAGGAATCAGAATAACCTATCCGCATTGAAACTCTATGATCTATGCCAATGGCCTTGACCAATATATCTAGAGAGGAATCTGGAAACACTAAAAAGAAGATCTTGGCGTGTTCATACTCTTCTCATTCCCTTTCTTGAAGGACCAAGAGGTTCCTGGAAATCTCTCAGGACTAAATTTTCTCCTCCACACATAACCAGAAATTTCTTCGCATTTGTAGGAAGCATTTTCTTCTTTTCTTTCCTGGGATGGGTAGGTGGATTTTGGTCAAGTCCACCAGCCAATCTGCAACTTTAACGAAGTCTTCCCAATTAACACAGTCAAGTCTACCTAAGAGTCTCATAAGTGGGGAAAAGAGAATTCAATTCTATGTGCTTTCCATTTCACTCTAATATCATATCAATATAAAAAAGTTACAGACATTCATTCGTTCAAAGATCAAACAAACAATACGTTGTATTACTTTTAGCAGTTATGAAGGGTGTGTATGAGATCATGAACCTGGGCAAGGTATGGCTCACAGTATGCATATCTTTGTGCTATTGCTATTGGATCAGCAAAATTGTCCCAAAAGGCACCATAAGACTTATCTGTGTGCTTCCTGTGATCGTCCTCTTCTTCTTCCTCCCTCTCAGCATTTCCTCAGTACATTTCACAGGAATCACTGGCTTCTTTGTCTCTTGGCTCGCCAACTTCAAACTCTTGCTCTTCGCTTTTGGCAAAGGCCCTCTCAGCTCCGACGATCCATCCAACATCATCTCCTTGGGACGTTTCGTGGCTCTCGCTTGCCTTCCCATCAAGATGATTCAACAACGCAATCCAATTTCAAAAGAATCTCACAGATCCAAAATTTCACAGATCCAATCCGAATCCACCTCGAAACGATCCGATCAAAACGGGATAAACAAAAATCCACATCCCCAGGAATCCGATGGATCCCAGATTGAAACATCCCCAAATTCCATAGTCGCCAGAAAATCGTATATAACCCTTACAGTATTCCATAAAGGCTATACTCGTGGCCATTATAGTGAAGATCTATGATTATAGTGATTTCATTCACCCAAACTGCATATTGGGCCTATACGCTTTGCACATATACTTTCTGCTTGAACTAAGCCTAGCCGTAGCCGCATCCATGGCTCGGCCGTTCTCCGCATGGAGCTGGAGCCGCAGTTCAACAACCCATTCCTGTCATCATCACTTCAAGACTTCTGGAGTCGGAGATGGAACCTCATGGTAACAGGTATCCTGCGACCCACCATATACGAACCTACACTCAACGTCGGCAGGCGTCTCGCCGGACCGAAATGGGCGCCACTGCCGGCGGTGATGGGGACGTTTGTAGTGTCGGCGGTGATGCACGAGCTGATGATGTATTACATAGGGCGGGTTGGGCCTTCCTTCAGGACGACGTGGTTCTTCCTGCTCCATGGATTTTGTTTAATGGTTGAGATTGCGCTGAAAAAGGCCGTGAAGGGAAGGTGGCGGTTGCCGAGGGCGGTCTCAGGACCGTTAACCGTAGTGTTCGTTATGGCCACCAGCTTTTGGTTGTTCTTGCCGGAGTTTATACGGTGTAAGGTGGACGTAAGGGCATTTGAAGAGTACGCGGCTTTGGGCGCGTTTGTAAAGAACGCGAATCACGCGTTATCGGTTTGACTCTTTGAGCGTCAAGCCTTTGCTGCATTGTCTTTAACATTTTTTTTTTGTTTTTTTTTTAAGACTACTATTTATAGAAACATTAACGTGGCATAAACATAAGTGCATTGATACTCATTTTGTTCAAGTTTGGATATAAGTTTTTAGAGTTTTTTTCATTATTTTAATACCAAATCTTTATATTTTTCTTCATCTATATTATTGGTTCTTATATTTTTATAAAAATGTTAACATGATATAAACAACGTTAATAATACTAGCATATTAATTAATATTATTAATTTTTGTTTATGTGTTAAATTGATATTGATATGATTTTTTTAATGAAAAAAATTAAAAAAAAAACTTATATAAGATGAAATAAAAATGCTGACCTAGAGGACTCTTGTGCCCTAGAAAATGAAGGTCCATGTCTTTTTTAATTTTTGTGTTTTGCTAATAGTTTAACAGTGCAGGTCATCCTATTTATTTTATTTGATATAAGCTTTTTTTATTTTTGGCTTATTAAAAAATTTATATAAACATCAGTTTAACATATAAACACAAAATTAAAAGTATTAATTAATATATCAACATTATTAACATTTTTTATACCATGTTAATGTCCCTGTGAAAATATATAGACTAACTTTATAAATAAAAAACGTATAGGAATTTAAAATATAAAAAAAATATCAAAATTTATATCAAAATTTAAATAAAATATATGAACTAAAAGTGGTGTTTTTTCTTTCTCTCTTTTTAAATTACACTCTATTATATTATATTATATCTTATTTATTTTATACTCATATGTAATAACACAATATAGTGTTTGCCCTGCCTCTTTTTAAACTTTACCTCCAAGTATCCCTGTTGGGTGGGGTACGCTAGTAGTAGTGCAGTACAGCTTTTTCAATGATTAAATTCTCAAGGGTTTGACCCACAATCTCTCTTATGAAATGAAAAGGTGGGCAACATTAATATCATTGAGTCAGCTTAACATAATACATCTTATAAAATTTGATGAATTATTAATAAATTATTTTTTAAAATATCCACATATTGAGTTTGTTTATCTGAGTGACGTGTTTGATTTTAAAATTTAAAGATAAAATTAACAATTTTAATTAATAGTAATCTGAGATTTCTATATAAACATTTTTTTAAAAAATTAAAAGTCTTAACTAATTTTTACTATCTTTTTCAATTTGGGTTAAAAATATTTTGTAGATAGGAGAGTATTTAAATTTGAAGAAGAATTAATTCATGTAAAAGAAAAATTGAATGAGAGTTAATGGTGGTACTCGCTTCAATGTTGCCATAAATATCTGCATTAAAAGGCCATTAATCGTGTCATGGGTGACTAAGGGCCTGCAATAAATTAAAGACGTCACTGCATCACTTTTTGAGGCAATCCAAGGCTTTCTTTGATATAAAGCATTAAATTTTGTAATATTGTAAATCAGAATTGGATTAAAATTGATAGTAAGAATAAATTTTAAAATTATATTTGATATGTCATGGGATTAAAAAAAAAAAAAAATTAAATACCCGCTTGCCCTCTCACCCTTTGAAATAGGATTGATGGATTTGGAACTCTTTGCCTCTTTGTCTCACCCTCTCAGTCACCATCTCAACTTCTCACAAGAAGACTCATCGCACAGATCTAACACGCGAGGATGATGCAAGGATGATGCTAGGGAGATGGTGTCAACGAAGGTCATCGACGAAGGAGAAGAAAGGTATAAGCCGAAGGTTGTCAAAGCAGGAGAAAGAAGATGAAGGGCCAAAGTCGTCGATGGAGGAGAAATAAGATAGAAGGCCAGAGTTGTCAACAAAAAAGAAGGAAGGTGGAGGTCGACAGTTGTCGAAGTAGGAGAAGGAAGAGATCGTCGAAGCAAGAGAAGGAAGACGGAGGGCTAGAGTTGTCAATGGAGGAGAAGGAAGATGGAGGTTGGGATTCATCAACTGAGGAAAAAATCTGAGCATTTTCATAAGGGCATTTCAATTAAAAAAATTTCAATCCTAAGTTAGATTTTCCAATGCCAGGGAGGGTGGTGAGTTTGAGTATTTTCACTTAAGTGGTACCAAGTAGTCCCAAAAATTGTGGAATGCTTCATATCAAATATATTAAAAGTAATATTACCCAAACTCAATTTTAATCCATGCCTCCTAGTATCACGGACCAAACAGGCCCTGAGAGTCTAGAAATTGCTATCACAATCCATAACAATCACAATCTTCAGGATTTTGACCTTGTATCAATCATCTAATTCTATTTATTTGATGGGTATCTCACATAATATTAAAATGGATTTTGTCATATAATATTAAAAAATATTTAAGTAAATTTTTTTAAAGAAAATATATTTTAATAATTTTTAAGTATTGATTAAATTGAAAGTCATATAACAATTTGAATTTTAAACTATAAATATAGGAGTGATTTGAATCTCAAACTTATTTTTGAAATGCATTTGAATCTTATACAATCTCAACCCTACTGTTAAATTTAAGTAAACATTTGTTAAATTTAGTTTGATACAGGATACGAAAGCAAACTCATATTAGCTAGGAATAGAATCTTAAAACACAAAAAAAACACAAGAAACATAAGCAAGGAAATGAAAAGATGGAAGAAAAACAAGAAGAATGTCACAAAATTAAAGAAGAAAAAAGATAAAGGAAAATATCATTTAAAAGCACTTGCCCAATCTTAATCTTTGAAGATATTATAAGAGTTGATTAAGTTCTTGATCAAATTTGTATTCACCATGAGATATTGACACAAACATTAAGGCTCGTAAAAGTTATTAATTCTAAAATAAGAATAATCTTATTATTCAACAAGTTTTAGGTTACAAGAGATGGAAACACTTTTATTTATAGATCAAGACAAGACTTAAAAACCCTAAAAATAACCCTAAATTCAAAAATATAATAAAAAATATTTAGCTACATAAGTTGAGAATTGTGTTTCCTTGAATCATGTGATTACAATAGCCAAAACTTTATAAATGAGCAAAAGCAATTTTGACCAGAATAAAATAAAAAAAATAAAGGTGAGACTCAATCTTTTTAATTAATGAAAACATAAAGTAGGAAACTAGATAGTTTTGACTCAAAAAAAAAAAATAGATTTTGAAATAATTAGGAGATCATGTGAAAGTCAAACCCTAATCAATTAAAGAAATTTTCAATTTCAATATAGGAAGGAGATCATGCATTAATTCTCCACATATGTCAAAAAAATGTGCTTATCATCTAACACCACATTTATCACATGGTAAATTAAAAATCTCCTTTTTTTTTAATCATCAGGACGCATGGGCTTGAAACCTCAACAGACTAGATTTCTTATGACATGTTTTGCATCACTAATGAACCTTGAATGGACTTGATTTTGTGATCCATTATAGTGTGGACTTGAATCAACTTATACTTATCAATCCACCATTATTTGATTGATCTTTGGACTCCTCTTCAAAGTATTTGGACTCTTCATTTGGTTGGACTTGTAACACATGGATTATTATCAAAAAATCTCTCATTGGATGCTAATATGATGGGTTTAACTATCATCCCTAGGCCTATTCAACTGGATAGTAGATCCTTAGATACAATAAGCTTGTATCATTGGACTTGAGTCTTTTTGAATATGTGTGAAGTCTTTTGGGCTCCTTCCAACAGGCCACTTTCGTTCCTTGGGCCATGATTCGCATGATCTTGCTCATCCACCTTAATCAGGTTTTGCAAAGTATTCCATTGGCTCACTAGACTTTTGTCAAGGAGCAGGGCCAGGAGACAAAGCCGCCTGGTTCCTAGTTATTTTGTTGAAAATCACTAGGCAGATCAATACTCATTCCGCGATCGACAGTTATATTCGAGCGTAGAAGCATTTTATAATCTATTTTACACTTTTCCTGGCAGGGCATTGCCAGATGTATTTGAAGAATCAGGGATGCAAGATATAGGAGGGTTCCCAATGCTTGCTTTCACATCTTGGTTTCAATTGCCTTACCCTTCAACCCATGATGTGAGAAATATGGTTTGAGTTTTAGGGGCTGTCCGTTTTCTTCAGTCAAATGAAAAAACAGTAACACTCTCATGGCCATTGGAAGATGATTTAAAAGGAAATTTAAGACATATATTTTTCCCCTTTCTCCATCCTTTGCTAAAAAACAGGAGAGCAAAGGCAGTGGATGCGGCGACTGTTGTTGCAGAAAGGCGAAGGAGATGGTGGAGCCTGTGCAGGGACGGCAACGCGAAGCTAGCAGCATCACTCGGCGACTTCCTCGTGGTGGCACGGAGGTTCAGCGACAACGCGTTACAGCATAGCCGCTGAGCTCGAAGGAGTGATCACGACGGTCATGTTATTCTTTATTAACGGTGGAACTGAGATTGTTACACGTGTGATTATTTAGGGTCCAAAATAATAATAAAAAAAGTAAATTCAAGGTTTAAATCACTTTTAAATTTATAATTTAAAATTTAAATTATCATTTAACTCTTAAATCTATGTCTTATAATTAAGACATTAACATATATGAGCCTGTTCAGATAGGAATTGGCTTCTCCCCTTTGACCTCCTCTTTGTTGCACTTGTAACAAAATTTGAACTATTTAAATTTAATATTTTTATTTTTTATTTTTGTTAAAATAAAAAATTACAAAAAAAAAATAAACATGATTTTTAATTTGAACAGTTTAAATTTAATATTAATGATTTAAATTTAATATTATTTTTTTATAATTTTTAAAAATTAAATATGCAAATGTATGGTTTAAATATAAAATATTTAACTTATAATTTTTTAAGTAATATTTTTCTTAAAAGTGCTTGTTAGTAAATATTTACATCTAGATTCTATCTGAATAATTAATTTATAAAAATTTTTAATATTAAATTTAAACCATTCATTTTAAATCTGCATTATAAATAGTAGCTTCTTCATTTAAAAATATAAAATATTTTTTAAGAGATTAAACGTTTAAAAATATAAGATATTTTTAATTTTTTAAAATATAATTATTAATTTTTTAAAAATATTTTTATTAAATAAATTATTTTATATTTATTATAACATAAAGCATCTTATTGAATTAAAAATAAATATAAAAAAATAAAGTTAGTTTAAAAATAAAAAATTATTTTATTAAAAAGTAAAATTTAATTAAAAATATTTTATATTTTTAAACGAAAGTATTATATTTATTTGAGTAGTTCATTTATAAAAAATTTTAATATTAAATTTAAATTATTTATATTAAATTTAAATTGATTACGTTGTTGAATAGATTTATAAACATATATTTTTTTTATAAATTTTATTTTAATAAAAATAAAAAAAATAAAGCATCAAATCTAGAACATGGATATTGGTCCTGATTGTACTCCGGGACCAGGATTGAGGCCCCAAGGAGAAAAGCCAGAGTTCAGGTATGTGTCGAAAAGAAAAGATCAACTGGTATTCTAGCAACCATCATGTCGCTCAATCTCGCTGGTCCAAGCAAGAAGAAGCAGAAACCCGATTACGTGGATGACGCTCCCGAGCAATTTCCATGCACGATCAAACCCTGACTACATCTCTGTTTTAGAACGCAGTAACGTTGCTGGTTTTGTTCGTATGCCGAATTCAACGATTCCTCAACAGCGTATTTATATGCTCAACTTCGACACCTTCCGCAACTCAATCCATTCCATCGTGTCATCTTATTTGACTCTCCGTCTATCTGAACATGATCACGCTTCAACTGCTGCACAAATTGACCAAGAGGCAGCCCAAATGACACGCCTTGTCGTGAATGCTTGTGTCGCCGTCTTGTACGCTAAGCTGCAAGTGATTAGCTAATCATTCGAAACTTATACCGGCAACCGCCTCCCCGCCGACTGATATTGAACTTTCCTTTCCCTATGCTGACGCAATCCAGAACATCAGAGTGTTTTCCCAACAAGGCTGTGTCAATTATTACAACTGTATTCCGGTTTATCCTGAGGATGAAGGCCGCAGTACATAGAACTTGGGGAGCGAAGTTTATGGATAAGTGATGAAGGAATTGGACATTCCTTTCAAGTCAGTGGGCACAAGTGTGACAGCCGGTACTGCTTGGTGGACTATGCAGCCAGTTATCACTTATCAGATACAAGAGTGCTGATCTGCATGGCATATTTTCTGTGTGTAATTACTCAGATCACACGGCTTTCTTGGCATCAATGTTCGTTTACACTAACAATGAGCAAGAAGCCATCCCACTCGTCACTGCTCTTGATGGAGATGTGCTGTACCCGATTCGGTTGCGACTGTTACTGCCCAACTTCGCTTTGCGATTTTTTGAAGCATTCTGTCATGCTCCACCTGAGGAATGGATGTAACTAATTATCTTTGTTTTGAAGAAAACTTGATGAACTTCGTTATTTGCAATGTTATGTGTTGGGAATCATATGCCAGAGCAAACAATGACAAACAATGTAAACGTATTTTATTAGTTTACGAGAACCCTTTAATTTCTTTGGTACAGTTCTTAAATATTTGGGTCATGTCTTGGCATTTGGACGGATTATAATTACAGAATTATTTAGCTATATCACAAAATCTTTGACGTTGAATCAAAATAGATTCAAATGCCAGTTGATCTCTAAGTGATTGCAGTCAAGTGAACGTTTCACTCTGTTTAGAGCTTCTTGTCTGCGTTGCAGCAATGCAAGTGATGCATCCTCAATCTGCTTATTCTGCTTTTTCTGGGGAACTCTTCTTGAGAAGGCTTTCCATTTTGATTCAAACACACAAGCTACAATGGGGAAGAAACAAGAAAATATTCATCAATAGAAAAGTTATGGACATCTTGAATGCTGCAAAATTACACACAGGTTCAAAATAAAAATACCATAATGATATCTCAAGTTTAAATATCTCAAAATAGCTGAACAAGAGTTTTCACAAAGGACCTAATGAGTAGAAACTTCTTAGATGTTAGTTTTTGCGGAACATGCAACGTGGGATGAAATTTTCTGAATCATTCGAGCATGTGATGTAGAGCTGTAAAAACCATCAACTTGTTATGTTTTTATTCGAAAAGCAAATAACTAAAGATTATATTGGAATTTTTGTTGTTTGAAGCAATATGGTCTCAAGGTCTTGTAAGAATTGTAAGCAAAAACAAGGGCCGTGGGGTGGCGGCAGAGTTCCATTGTTACCAAGAAAAAAAATATAGACAGAAAGTGGGACCAGAAACTGTAGGGTATTATGCATGCCGGATACAATGATTCACTTTCACAGAAAAAAAACTTTATCAAAAATTAATGTTCAGATGATACAAAAAGCGACCACATAGCTGAATCTTCTGCAAAGATGGTTTACAAGGCTAAAATTATTAGGACACAAAATTTTTGGTCAAAGTTTAAAATAAAATCAATTGACAATTTATCGTTATCTCTTGCAATACAATTGAGGGTTAAAAAATGTATACAACTTGGAAATATCCCCTTGAGCAATGTGAACACATCAACACATTATTGAACTTCACCAAACTTTGCATGATTCAACTTTTACCACAGTATGAACAGAGAATAAAATTAGACCAATTTGCTCTCCGCTTTCATTTTCAAATGTCACAACTGAAAGTCACCAAAAAGGTGACAAAATCAATGGAACATTATAAAAGTAACAGCATAGCATTCAGCTCAATCTGGTCAACAATATAAGCAAAGTTCGCAATTGACAGCTATAGCTATCAACAATCATGCTAACTACAACGCATAAATAAAGAAACATAAAAAGAAGTTCAAATACACACTACAAACATGTAAAATTTTAGATGAAAATAAAGTAGATATAGACCTTCACTTCTGTCTGTAAAACCACAAATGACACATGCACAGATCCATGGCCTTCCGGCACGGGATGCTTTTGCACCACCTTTGATTTCACCATTATGTTGCTTCAGACTACATCAATTAACATATTAATATCAAAAATATAATTATTTAACTCCACTATCATCATCTAAAAATTCTAAAACTTGAAAGAAAGCAGAATTAGCTACAATAAAGAAATAGAAATCTATTAAGCCATAAAGGAGAACAGTAATTAACTTCTAATGAGCTAACTCAACCTGCGGACAGCTAAAGTAACGTGTAAAAGGATAACTTCCCCACCACATGATATTCTTATGTAGCTACCAAATTCCATATCCTAACCACAGAAGCTAAGGTCAATCTTACAGTTTAAAGCTTCCACTTCTGGCCTTGTGAGACAGTGAGAGACAGAAAGAGGACCTCATATGCCTTTTAGTTCACTGGAATTGGAATTTAATGTTGCATATAATTATATATCATGCATCTCAAGCATCTTTGATGATTCTGAATTAGTCTTCCTTAGGTATTAAATTGTTGCTCTTGTTTGCTCAGCCCCTTTCAGTATTAACAAGTTTTTATTCTCCATGCCATTTTGCATCTTGGTGCTGCTTCCATTCCCTATATTTTGCATTTTTAACATTCTCGCTCTATCAATGACTTAGGAAACAGCTTTAAGCTGACAATACAGTGTTAATAATCCAATACAGTCTAGCTAATGACATTATTTAATCCCAACACACTACCCAATTTCATTGGCGACAAGGCAGCATTGCAAATGATATGCCCAGCACTCTTCAATTCTCAGTTGCTAACTAAATTTGTCAATCCTGGACCAGCTTTCTTGCAATGTTCTTAAAAAGCTCAAACAAGTCACTTCCAGGGATATCTCAGTGACAAAGTATAGGATCTCAGTCATTCTCAGTCCTTTTGCTGAAGTAAGTGGTTAAAGGTTGATTGCTACTTGAGCGAACGATGTTACAATAGAACCTAGCCAGATCCTGGATTTATTATCTCCAGGTATAATTGTTCTAGATGAGCAATTCCCTTTAGCAAGAAAAGCACTATACATATTTTTCAGCAAACAAAAACCTGAGGGCTAAGACATATATCAACAAGCATGGGAAAAAAAAAAAACATTGGAGTTTGTGCTTTGTGGCTGCTTTTAAGAACATAGGAACTACTATAAAAATCATCAAAAGCTTTAGATGGTAAGATTACTCCCAAACAATCAAGACTACAAATAACCATAATAGTTTATTAATTTTTGGATGAATCATTAAAAGCAAAATTGAACCAACTGTTTGAAAGCAGCAAGTATATGCAATATCCGAATGTACAACATTTTATATATTAATAAGAAAATCTGAATGTCTATCCCCAATTCCCAAAATTGTCTTCTATTAGTGTCAAAAACTTCTTTTTCTTTATCCAAACATAATCTTTCACCATGCCACCTATATCCGAGAAAGGTTACAATTTTAATCAAAAGGCATTGTATTTTCCAACAACCATTCATTGCCGACCAAAAGTAGCCATTTCATCGGATGTGAACATCAGCACTTCATGCCAAAATACTTCATATCGATTCTAAGCCCCAAAAACACTCTGATTATTGTGCACCTATGCTTATGTCCTGAATTTCTGAAGCTTATGTGATTATCCAAGTCAAACGCATATTAAGCATAATAAGCACTTATCAAATAGCATGGAACATGAACAAAATTAAAAGACTTGATTTTGAACATACAGGCGAGTGAAATTGGTTGCGACGCCAACATAGGTTTTGATAGGGTGGTTAGTAGCAATGATGAGATAAACACACCAGGAGGCTGATTTGGAATTGGGCCTCAATTTGGGATTTGAATTTGAAACAAGAGACGGCGATGATGGGGAAGAGAGTTTAGGTGAATTAGGATTAGCGATTGAACATTTAACAGAACGAAACGTCTTGGACAAAGCTCTCATCATAGAGATCAGCCACCTTACCTTATACGGATAAGATTTCCCGTTTCGCGAATAGAGAAACAGGGAAGTTGTTGTCCTTGATCTTGTAGTTCTTCCCCTTGGTCGTTCATGTCCCTGATGTTCGAAAACGCATATTGGAAGAAATAACAGACGCAAGAAGGCCGTAATTAACCCCTGCGATGCATGGGGATGCGTGCATTTTCACACCAAAATAGGATAGTCATATGTAATTTACGCGATGCTCAGGATAAATGGATCTGTGGCTTTAGTCGCAAATTGATATCTGTTCCCATAGCGGCGGCAGAAATGATTGGGTATTATAGAGGGACTTTACTTACGCAAGGAAGGGAATTTTTTTTTTTTTTTCAAGCTGATTATTTTTTCAGATTGTACTGAAGGGATCAACCTGATTATTAAAAAATGTGATGCCAACTATCCCTGAATATTGTTGAGCAAACCAGATCTTTTTTTTATCTCTGTAGTATAACAAATTGAGTTTAATTATGTACTTAGGAATGATAATAAGGATGCTGAATATCTGGCTAAATTAGCTCACACTCTGAAAGTTAATTTTTGTCTCTTTAATTATCATCCATGTCTTAAGTTTGGTATGAAAGATGATGAAAGAGAATAGGTTTTTTTGTTTTGTTTTTATTACTTGATGTGTTTTATTTATTTTGATTAGTATTGTAATTCAGTTTTGATTAAAAAAAGTATCAAATAATTCCTAAATTTCATTGTAGATTAAGGATTAAAATGAAATTATATTTTATAAGAAATGACTAAAATATTCTTTAATTTTTTTTTGAACGAGACTTAGGGTCTATTTAGATAATTTTTAAAAGCACATTCAAACCATATTTAGGATATGCTTTTGCAAATTTCAACAAATAGTTAGATTCGCTAAATGTTCTTTTGTCAGATGTAAATTAAAAATCAAACACACACTTAAAATGAATATAATGTGTCATTTATAATAATTTTTTGAGTAATATTATAATTACTTTTTTAGAACCATTAATTAATTTGGCATTACTCGCTATCATGTTAATGCTTCCATCCCTTATTTTTTTATTCACAAGACATATATTTTTATTTTTATGTCCAATGGTTGGTAAAAAACAAAAGTCCAATGAAATAAAGGTAAATATCCATATTCTTAGTTTCAAAAGCCAATTTATGCTAATAACATGTTATAAAATATAAGTAATATGAAGAGTAGAGAAGAACAAAATAAGACAAGAAATGGGAGAGAAAACAATGGAGGAGAATTTCTTATTTACTTTAATACATATGCTTTGAACATGGTTGCTATTTATAAGCTTTTAACTATTAAAGTCCTATCTTAATGTTACAACGATATAAAAAGGCATATAATAGTGTATTATATAGGCTTTGAAGGTTATATGGTATATATTAACTACAAAAAAACTCCTTTTAAGTCATTTATTAGGACATTAAGAATAAAGAAATCTTACCATAACATAACATTTATAATAATTACATATATTATTTATAATAATATGAAATGAACTTGTTACAGTGGTAATTTGGTTTGCTATTTTAACATATATTCTTCTCCTATGCCGATTTGCAAACCACATACGCTTATGGACTTCAATGAAAAAGCAAGCATAAAGCTCAACTTTCTAAACTTTTTTTTTTTAATCTAAGGGTGTGTTTGAATTTTAATTGAGTAAAATTAATTATAAAAAAATTAATTAATATAATTAATTTTAATTATAATTAATTATGTCATGACATGAATGTTATTTTTTAAAATTAATTTAATAAAATTAAAAATTTTTGAATAATTTTAATCAAAATTAATTTTATATGTACACATTCCCATCAATGACAAGTTTTATATTATAAATATTGATAAAATTGTATGTAATACAATTAATTTTTATCTATTTAACAACTATATATAATATAATAATTATTCATTTAATATTTTATGTAATTATTTAAAAAATATACAGACACTGTTTAACCATATAAATTTTAATTATATTATATTATATTATTAATAATTTAAAAGTAGTATATTTATTAAACAAATTAACATATATGCAACCTAGTGAAGACAAGGGTATATATGGTACGTTGAAATTTCTGAGGACCAATTAATGCCCCAGCAGATATAAAAGACACGCGGAAGCTAATGAAACTTTCTAAACTTTGAAATTCAGCTTAAAAAACCTCTCAAAGTCAACTAGAGTTAAAATATAAAAAATAATAATAATAAAACTTTTTAAAAATACATAAATAATAATTTAATCTGTTAAAATATTATAATTTTTTTAAGTTTTTAAAAATTTTTCTATCATTAATAAATTTATATAAATTATTAAATTATATTTATTAAAAATAAATAATTTAAAAGTTTTGTTTAACTATTTACAACTTTCCTTCTTATATTTGTAACAATGCAAAAATAAATAAAAAATTTAACATGTAAAATTGTGATTTGCTGTTGCATTATTGTAAATATAAAAAAAAGTTATGAATATTTAAACAAAACTTATGAATCATTTATTTGTAATAAAAGCAATTTATATAAATATCTAAATTACCTTTGTTAAAAATAAATAATTTATAAATTTTATTTAAACATTCACAATTTTTTTTATGTTCATAACTTTATTTACATATATCATATGAAAAGTTCTTACTCCAGTTTCTAACTCTAACTCATTGTATAAATTTTAAGTTTCTTGTGTTCATGAAAAAAATAAATTATACAATAAAGAATTTTTTTAAATCTTGAAATTATATTGATTTTAGTCCATTTTTAAAATCAATATAATTATTTTAAAGTTTATTAAAATTACACAATTGTTTAATTGGGAAAAGTACTACACATCTCTTTAAAAGGAAGAATAAATAACATGATCCTTTCTTGAATTTATTTTTGAAATTATGAAATTGTTATTTCTTAAAAAAATACTCAAGCTTCTAAAAAAAATAGAGAGGAGATCAATATAATTTAACAAAATTTCAACAATTTGTATCATTTCCTTTTATTTTGGGAACAGATTCAAATATACTTGGAAAATAAGAAGTCTGCATAAATCTAAGTAAATGAAATATTGTAATAACTTATTTTTTATTTTAGGTAAAATTTAAAGATAAAAATTGACGTAATTTCACATAAGAATAAAAATCGTAATGTTGGATTAGCTGTCAATTTCCAACATTTGTTAATCTTATAAAAAAAATCACTTGAATTTATCGATTTATTTATTTATGTGGGGACTGGATCAGAGTCAACAATTTTTTGTGTGGTTGCGAATGCTAGCCTGTAATTCATCAAATCTCCTAGCAGAGTCAACGTTGGCCTTCGCTGCTTTTGCTTCTTCTGTTATTACTTCCTCCCTCAAATTTCTTCTCCGCCAAAAGAAGACACTCATCATCAACCATGGCTCTTGGATTAGTTGGTGGTGCTATTCTGTCTTCTTTCCTCCAGGTGGCTTTTCAAAGGTTGGCTTCTCGTGAGGTGCTTGACTTCTTCCTAGGCAAGAGACTGGACGAGACGTTGCTGAATAAGTTGAACATCAGTTTCATATCTATCAACGCTGGGATTGATGATGCTGAGCAAAAGGAGATCACCAATCCAAACGTGAAAGCATGGCTTAATAAGGTCAAAGATGCTGTTTATGATGCTGAGGATGTCCTTGATGAAATTGTTGAAAACAGCAAATGCAGAGGCGAACAGCGAGCTACTAATTGCTCAAGTCGTGTCCGAAAGAACACTGTCCTTAAGAACTATTCCGGTACACCTGGACGGTGGATCGACAGTTCCCCAGGATTAAATGAGCACTTCCTGCGGCGGAGCAAGGAAACAGAACAGCGGAGACTATAAATGAAAACAAACGAATAGGAGATCAGAGGGAGGAGAGGACGAGAACGCTTGCTCTCTGTTCTGTCCACACCCATATCTATTTATAGGCTAAGGAATGAGACACAAACGTTGGATTATAATTACCGGCTAATGCTTCAGTTATACACACGTTAAACAACGAACGTTCATGGATTAATGCTTCAGTTACACGCCTTAAACAACAGAAACGTGCACGTCCATTAATCCAAAAACGTTCAGTGTTCAATTTGGAGACGCTTGGCAGACAAAACATTAACGCACAGAATTCGATTTCCAGAAAATTGCCAATGCCTCAAGTTTAACTTGAAAACAGCTAAATCAGAGGTTTTTCGGGTAAGCAAAAATAATTATTTATTTAACCATTTTTTGTAAAAATAACCCGGTAAAAGGAACCCAGTGCCTCTTGAACTCCCGCACAGGGGGGGCGAATCGGCTGATTTCAACTGCGATTGCCCTGAATTGGCCTGTCTCATGTGCGCGAGGCCACTTCTCCTCCAAGCCCATTTTACTAGCCCACTTCATTCCTTAGTATATATACACTAGGAGATTCCTTCCTTTAGTCAATGTGGGACTTTGACACACACATACTTTTGACACACATACAACAATCCCCCACATGTGTCAAAAGGATCTATATTTGTCTATGTTATTCACACGGAGGATAATGACTTTGAATTTGGTGTCCGTCGACTTGAACCAAACCTAGACTAATAAAACTTGGCACACAGAAAAATTGGTGTAACTTCGTTATTGAACCAACAGATTTTGAGCGTGTGCTAGAGGTCTTATTAATCAGATTATACCCCACAGTCTCTGCTATTAACAACGGTTTTGCACGTTATCGGCCATGCGCTCGCCTGGTTTTAACAAATGCTCTAGAGATTTTGCCACGATCTCATAGGAGCGGCCCCACTCCACATTTGTATAGGTATTTTTATCAAGTGTATCTGCAATGAATACACCATCCGTAAGGACTATGAAAACATTAAGAGCTTTCGCTCAGCCTCCGTTCAATGCATTCTAGTACTTTCTCAAGCCATAGGAAGGGACAGGTTCAGTGCTAGTAGAACTAACAAGTGACTTGTTCTTACCCATTGAACCTTCTTTATGGGATCTCCAATCACAAAGGTTGGGTTGCCATCACCATTAATTTCAAACAGACTTAAGTCCCATTTCCCTCGACGTTTCAATAATAAATTTCTTCCCTAGGGGTTTAGTTAACGGATCTATTAAATTTAACTCTGATCTCACATAATCGATTGAGATGACCCCGTCTTTGAGCAGCTGCCTTATAATATTATGTCTCAATCGAATATGTCTACTTTTGCCATTGAAGGTCTTATTTTTAGCCGTTGCTATTGCAGACTGGCTATCACAATGTAAAGACACTGATGGTGTGGGCTTTTCACATATTAGAATACTTGCTAAGAAGTTTTTCAACCACTCAACCTCAGTTCCAGCTAGCTCCATGGCAATGAACTCAGAATCCCTTGAGGATTTTGTGTTGATTGTCTGTTTTGCAGACTTCCAGGTTATTGCACCACCACCAAGAGTGAATATATAACCACTAGTGGATTTTGTCTCTTCTGAATCTGAAATCCAGTTAGCATCATTGTATCCTTCCAATACAGCGGGAAATCCACTATACAATATACCATAATTCATGGTACCTCTCAAATATCTCAAGACTCTCACCAGAGCCTCCCAATGTTTGCTGCCTGGACAGTGAGTATATCTACTCAATCTGCCTACAGCATAAGCTATATCAGGCCTAGTAAAGTTCATCAAATGCAACAGACTTCCAATAATCTGTGCATCCTCAGATTGAGCAACTGGGTTACCCTTGTGCTTTTTTAATTGCACACTCGAATCATAAGGAGTACTCAAAGGAGCATCTTCAAGATGTCCAAACTTTCTGAGAATTTTTTCAACATAATGTTCTTGGGAAAGCAAGATTTCATTTCCATTCCTTATGATTTTTACACCCAAGATTACCTTGGCTTCACCCATATCTTTCATATCAAAATTTGAAGAAAGAAAATTTTTTGTTTCATTAACAACACACATACTAGAGCCAAAAATCAGCATATCATCCACATACAAGCATATAATCACACATTCATTATTCACAAACTTTATATAAACACATCTTTCTACTTCAACAATAGAAAATCCACCAGTTGTCAAAACTTGATCAAGTTTCTCATGCCATTGCTTAGGCGCTTGTTTTAAGCCATACAAAGACTTTACAAGTATACAAACTTTATTTTCTTGCCCAGGAATCACACATCCCTCAGGCTGTACCATGTAAATTTCTTCTTCTAAATCACCATTTAAAAAAGCTATTTTAATATCCATTTGGTGAACAAAAAGTTTGTAAATTGAAGCCAAAGCAATAAGAACTCTTATAGAAGAGATTCTAGTCACAGGAGAAAAAGTGTCAAAATAATCTATATTTTCTTTTTGAGTAAAACCCTTGGCCACAAGCCTTGCTTTATACTTATCAATTGAACCGTCTGGAAAATATTTTTTCTTAAAAATCCATTTACACCCAATAGCCTTAGCTCCTTGGGGTAAATCTGATAAAACTCAAGTTTTATTTTTCCTTAAAGAATCAATTTCAATTTCAATTGCTTCTTTCCAAAATTTGGCATCAGGAGAAGAAATAGCTTCATAAAAATTTAACGGTTCATCTTGTACTAGATAAGTGTAAAAGTCATCTCCAAAACTTGTTTCTTTCCTTTGCCTTTTACTTCTCCTTAAAACCAAATCCTCATTACAATTTTGTTCAAACTCTGAATTCTCAACAGGTTTAGAAACATGCTTAATTTTCAAAGGAAAAATATATTCAAAGAATTCAGCATCCTTAGTCTCTATAATTGTATTTTGGTCTAAAACATCACTTTTTAAAACTAAAAAGTGATACGCTGCACTTTGTTCAGCATACCCAATAAACATACAATTAGAAGTTTTAGAGCCAATTTTCCTCTTTTTAGGATCAGGCAGTAAAACTTTTGCAAGACACCCCCACACTTTCAAATATTTTAAGTTTGGGGTAAACCCTTTCCATAACTCATAAGGTGTTTTCTTTGTTTTCTTATGAGGTATCCTATTTTGTAAAAAATATGCAGACAAAATAGCTTCATCCCACAAGTTATCAGGGGCAGAAGAACTCACAAGCAAAGCATTCATCATTTCTTTTAATGTTCTATTTTTTTTTCTGCAACACCATTAGACTCGGGAGAATAAGGAGGTGTTACCTCATGTATAATTCCTTATTTTTCACAAAAATCATTTAACAAAACATATTCTCCTCCTCTATCCGATCTAATCCTTTTAATTCTTTTGTTTAATTGATTCTCAACCTCTGCTTTATATAATAGAAATTTTTCAAAAGCCTCATCTTTGTTTCTTAACAAGTTTACTTTAGTATATCTTGAAAAATCATCAATAAAAGTGATATAATATTTTTTACCACCTCTAGTCATGGTTTGTTTTAAGTTACCTAAATCTGTATGAATTAAAGATAGTAATTCAGATTCTCTTTGACTAGAAAAATGAGGTTTTTTACTTTGTTTAGTTTTTGCACATACTTCACATTTTCCAAAATCTCTATTTTTAATTTCAAAAAGTAGTCCAAGTTATCGCATCCTATTTATATAACCTTTACTAGCGTGACCTAGTCTAGCATGCCACAGATCAAAGGAATCAACCATATAAACAGGCATATACTCAGAAGATTCAATCTTATTCATTTCATCAACATTTAGAACAAACAGTCCCGATTACAATACCCTTTGCCTACAAACACATTATTTTTTGTCATTACAATCTTGTCAGATTCAAATGACACTTTAACCCCAGCTTTCCCTAAAAGAGCAACTGACACTAAGTTAGCTCTAACTTCAGGCACATACAGAACATCATTCAGAGCTAGAGTCTTTCCTGATGTGAGCTTTAAGACCACTTTCCCTTTTCCTTGAACTTTAGCAGTTCGGGAATCAGCAAGGTAAACATGGTCTTCCCCTTCCTTTATAGGATTATAGGTGGTAAACATCTCTTGGCTTGCACATATGTGCCTGGTAGCCCCGGAGTCTACCACCCATTTCTTCACATCAGAAATCAAGAGAGCTTGTGACACCACTGTAGCAATGATGTCATCATCACTGTCACCATCTCGTTGTACCAAATTTACATTTGACTTCCGAGGCTTATCACGGTTTGCTCTCTTCCTACACTGTGCTGCATAGTGTCCTGGTTTACCACAGACAAAACAGTCTCCTTTCTTTTTGAAAGAGGGGTTAGAAGCATTGGGTTTGTAATCAGTTTTTCTATTCTTCTTGTCTTTAGTTTTAGAATCATACCTCTTGTTGTGAGGCTTTGTCTCCACCAGGTTGGCTTTGGATGTCATTTCTCTGGTTTGAGCTGCACGTATTACCTTGTGGTTGGTATCTTCGATGATGATGTGAGTGATCAAGTCAGTCAAGGATAGCTGCTTCTGTTTGTGTTTCAACTGCTGTTTGTAGTCAGACCATGATTCTGGCAGCTTCTCAATCAGTATCCCAACAACAAACTCGTCTGGAAGGTTGATGTTTTCAGCACGAAGCTCCTCCAGCAGCTTATGATATTCGTTGATTTGCTCCTTGACATCCTTGTTCTCGGTCATCTCCCATTTGTAGTAGTTGCCCACAATGAATTTTTATTTGCTGGCATTCTCAGCAGTGTACTTTGTCACCAGGGACTCTCATATCTTACAAGCTTCCTTATAGACACAGTAGACATCGAACAAATCATTAGATAAAGTGCTAATGATAGTGTGTCGGCATACCTTCTTTGCATGAGTCTATGCAACTCTCTGGGCTTGATCAGTATCAGCAGGAGGCTCGAATTGAGCAAGAGCAGTGGCCACACCATGCATGTCAAGAACAGTGAAGACACGTTCCTGCCAGCGTTTGAAGTTTCAGCCATCAAAGACTTCTATCTTTGATATGTCAGGAAACGGCCTTGGTAGGGGAATGGCAACAGCAGCAGGGACGAATTGACCTCCAGCCGAACTACTGGGCACACCTTCGAGAGTGACATTCTCAGCACCGTCAGTCGCCATTGGGTTGAATAGTTCTTAAGATTGTTGAAAACAGCAAATGCAGAGGCGAACAGCGAGCTACTAATTGCTCGAGTCGTGTCCGGAAGAACACTGTCCTTAAGAACTATTCCGGTACACCTGGACGGTGGACCGGCAGTCCCCCAGGATTAAACGAGCACTTCCTGCGGCGGAGCAAGGAAACAAAACAGCGGAGACTATAAATGAAAACAGACGAACAGAAGATCAGAGGGAGGAGAGGATGAGAACGCTTGCTCTCTATTCTGTCCTCACCCATGTCTATTTATAGGCTGAGGAATGAGACACAAACGTTGGGTTATAATTACTGGTTAATGCTTCGGTTATACACACGTTAAACAACGAACGTTCATGGATTAATGCTTCAGTTACACGCCTTAAACAGTAAAAATGTGCACGTCCATTAATCCGAAAATGTTCAGCATTCAATCTAGAGACGCTTGGCAGACAAAACATTAACGCACAGAATTCGGTTTCCAGAAAACTGCCAACGCCTCAAGTTCAACTTGAAAACAGCTAAATCAGAGGTTTTTCGGGTAAGCAAAAATAATTATTTATTTAACCATTTTTTGTAAAAATAACCCGGTAAAAGGAACCCAGTGTCTCTTAAACTCACGCGTAGGGGGGGCGAATCGGCTGATTTCAACTGCGATTGCCCTGAATTGGCCTGTCTCATGTGCGCGAGGCCACTTCTCCTCCAAGCTCATTTTACTAGCCTACTTCATTCCTTAGTATATATACACTAGGAGATTTCTTCCTTTAGTCAATGTGGGACTTTGACACACACACTTTTGACACACATACAACAGAAATTGACTACGAAGTGACGAAGCGCATGGTGGAAGCTGAATCTCAATCTAATACTATGACACGCAAGGTACGAAACCTCTTAACTAATTCTGCTGGTTCATTTGACAAGGAAATCCAATCAAGGATCAAACAAGTCCTTCACACCTTAGAATATCTGGAAAGTAAAAAAGACATACTAGGATTGAAAGAAGGTGGGGGTGCCAGTGGAGGATCAGTGAGAAAGTTTCCAACAACTTGCTTGGTGGATGAAGCTGGAATTTATGGTAGAAATGGAGATACAGACGCCATCATTGATGACTGGTTGCTATCACAACAATATAATAGCAGTCAGCTTTCTGTCCTTTCCATTATGGGTATGGGAGGATTGGGTAAAACCACTCTTGCTCAATGTATTTACAATGATGTGAGAGTGCAAGATGAATTTAAGCTCAAAGCATGGGTGTGTGTTTCTGATAACTTTGATGTCACCAGGGTGACTGGAGCAATTATTGAGGCAATAACTTTGTCTAATGATGATAGTAAAGATTTAAATGTGCTACAAAATAAATTGAAGGGAATGTTGATAGGAAAGAGATTCCTCCTTGTCTTGGATGATCTTTGGAACGAGAAATTTATTGAATGGGAGGCCTTACATACCCATTTCAAATTTGTGGCTTCTAGAAGCAAAATTCTTGTAACATTGTTGCTTCAATTGTGCGCTCAACTAAAGTGCGTTCACTTGTGTATTTAAATGAAGAAAATAGTTGGTTGTTGTTCAAAAAGTATGCTTTGCTTGATGGAGATGCCCCCTTTTCAAATCCTAATTTTGAAGCTATTGGCAAGAAAATTATTGAAACATGTAAGGGGTTGCCTTTGGCGTTAAAGACAATTGGGAGCCTACTGTACACAAAGTCATCTATTGAGGAATGGAACGACATTTTGAAAAGTGAGGTATGGGAGGAGGGTACCAATATTCTTCCTCCTGCAGCTTTAAGATTGAGCTACCATCACCTTCCATCTCTTCTCAAGAGATGCTTTGCTTATTGTTCTGTATTTCCCAAAGATTATGAATTTAGCAAAGAGCACCTTGTTGAGTTGTGGATGGCTGAGAATTTTTTTAGTGCACAACAAGGAAAAGAGTTAAAGGATGTAGGAGATAAGTTGTTTCATGATCTCTTAGCAAGATCGTTTTTTCAGCAAGCAAGTGGAGATAAAATGTCTTACATCATGCACGATCTTATTAATGATCTAGCAAAGAATGTTTCTGGAGACTTTTGTTTTATGTTGCAGGAAGGTAAAGCACGATATGCCTCGAAAGCTACTCGCCACTTTTCATACACAGAGAGCATTTGGGTGATTCTGCTAAAAAATTTGAAGTTATATGCGATACTAAGAAATTGCGCACTTTCAGGCACGATTCATGGTATAATAATCCTCCTTGGCTAGTGTCCAACAAAATGATGCAAAATTTGTTGTTCAAGTTCAAGTGCTTACGTGTCTTGTCTTTATCAGGCTATGCAAACATTATTGAATTGCCCAAGTCTATTGACAATCTCAAACATCTATGTTATTTGAATATTTCAAAAACTCCAATAAAAAGATTACCAGATTCAATCTGCTTACTTTACAACTTGCAAACATTAAGGTTGGAGTTTTGTAAGGATTTGGAAGAATTGCCAAATGATTTGCATAAACTAATAAATTTGCAACATCTTGATTTTCGTGAAACTAAGGTGAAAAATGTGCCAAAGAGAATGGGGGAATTGAAAAAACTTCAAGTTTTGTCGTCATTTTATGTGGGTGAAGGTGATGAGACTGACAAGAAGCAATTAGCTCAAAAATCTTCATAATTTATATTAATAAAAAATGTATAAACTATTTTTAAAATAAAATTATATAATATTTAAAAAAATATATTTTAATAACAATAAAAGTCATCAGGTCGGAATGGATTTCAAGTTCTATGCTTTTCCTTTCGTTCTTTTCTCATTTTCTGTTTCTTTTTTCTTTGCTGAAATATATTTTTTTTTTCACTTTCAAGTGATGAAAATTTTAAGGAATTAGAAAATTACCTTTTATTTTTTGTCACCTTCAAAAGTATTTGCCTTTTCTTCTTCTGCTATTGCTCCCCCTCAAATTTCATCCCTGCGAGTAAATTATAAATCATTTTTTTTTCATGAACAGAAGTATGTTTTTATTGAGATTTTGATTCATAGCATTTTTCAGTTTTGTAGGTTGGAATCAGAAAAAAAAAAAAGAGAACAATACATATTTTCAAGTGAAAAATTTGACCGTGCTTTCACGGGACCCGTGGTTTAAATTAAATTTGGACTGTCTGTGTATCTATTAAAAATAAGGAATAAATTACCCACAGTTGGGTCCAGTAATAAAAAGCATTAATCCTCCACAATATCATAAATTAAGATTTAAATTTTTATTATATTTAATGCCCAGTTATGTTTTGAATATAATTGATTTCAATGAAAAAATGCTTATGAGTAATTTTTTTTAAAAAAAGAATAAATTGTATAGTATTTTCTTGAAAAATATACTCAAGCTTCTCTCAAACAATAGAGAGAAAAAAAAAATACCTCTGATTCTGCTCTTCATAGGGATCTATTCCAGTTTGCTGATATTGGTCTTGTTGACTCTTCTCGGATTCATCTCAAATGCAAGCTTCCTCTGTTTTGCTACAACGAAACAGAGCACTGGTTTCGCAGGGTTTCTGCCAAAAAAATCTCGCAGGGTTCCATGAAACTACCGAGGACCTCTAAAGATTTGCAGCAGCTTAGAGTCTTTAGAGGTCCAAAATGATGTGTTGCTTTGTTGTTTTCTTTTTCCTTCTCATAGTGTCTTCTGTATGGTCTTGGGTTATGTCATTTCTCATCATGCAATGTTTCCACAACTGCCATGGCTGCTTGAGTTCAAGCTATGGCACTCAAAATCCTACGGGAGGCAAACTTATAATTCAATACTTAGTTATCGTTTCATTTTCTTACTCGCCAAGCTTCAAACTGATGATGAACTAGTTTTCAAACTAATTCCACAAGAAATTTATGCGAGTGTTTCTTTTCAGCATCTGCATGTTCATATAATGTATGGCTTGGGCCTTTTGGTCTTTATCTTCTTGAGTTATTTCTCGAGTCTTTTTGTTTCTGCTGGTAGTTTTTGTTCTGTTGAGTCTGTATGTCTAGTTTTCGTTTTAGTCGAGTTTGTTCGCAGCTTTTGTTGTTTCTCCTTCCGTTAAGAGTCGTTCCTGCGTTGTAACTTTTTATGTTTTAATAATAACTGTCTTTATTCCAAAAAAAAAAAAAGAGGAGAGATATAATTTAACAAAATTCCAACGATTTGATTCATCAATTTTTCATGCTGGGAACATATTTAGATATATCTTGATTAATAACAAAAGTCATCATGTTAAAATGGATTGCAAGTTGCATCCTTTCCCGCTTTTCTCATTTTCTGTGTCTTTTTTCTTTGCTGAAATAAACATCCAATTCTTTACTACTTTCAAGTGACAAAAATTCTTAGGAATTAGAAAATTACCTTTCAATTTCACTTTAAAAAATGGAATGATCACTGGGGGCAGCAGGGGGGAAAAGGCGTAGACTTTGGAGAGGAGCAGAGTCAAATCAAGGTCTTCGTCAATGTCGTCTTGTGAATTTGCTAAGCTGGCCTCCATCACATTGGGTCGGTCAAGTAAGTAGCAGCGGCCCTTCGAAGCCACTTTCACCGCACATTGGCCGCCTCGCCTTCCTTTTCTTCGCCTGCTATATCACTTCCTCTCTCAAATTTCTTCTCTGTAAAATCATCCATGGCTCTTGAAGCATTTGGTGGTTCTATTCTCTCTTCTTTCCTCCAGGTGGCTCTTCAAAGGCTGGCTTCCCGTGAAGTGCTTGACTTCTTCCGAGGCAGGAAACTAGACGAGACGTTGCTGAGCAAGTTGAACATCTGTTTGTTATCCATGAATGCATTGATTGATGATGCAGAGCAAAAGGAGATCACCAATCCAAATGTGAAAGCTTGGCTTGATATGGTCAAAGATGCTGTTTATGATGCTGAGGATGCCCTTGATGAGATCGACTACGAAGAGACGAAGCGCGTGGTGGAAGCTAAATCACAATCTGGTTCTGTCATACGCGAGGTACGAAACTTTTTCACTGGTTCTGCTAGTTCATTTGACAAGGAAATTGAATCAAGGATCAAACAAGTCCTTCACAACTTAGAATATCTTAAAAGTCAGATGGATATCCTAGGATTGAAAGAAGGAGGAGGTGCCGGTGTAGGATCAATGAGAAAGGTTCCAACAACTTGCTTGGTGGATGAAGCTAGAATTTATGGTAGAAATGAAGACAAAAATGAGATCATTGATGGCTGGTTGCTATCACAACAATATAATAGCAGTCAGCTTTCTATATTTTCCATAGTGGGTATGGGAGGGTTGGGTAAAACCACTCTTGCTCAATGTATTTACAATGATGTGAGGGTGCAAGATCGATTTGAGCTCAAAGCATGGGTGTGTGTTTCTAATGACTTTGATGTCACAAAGGTGACTAGAGCAATTATTGAGGCAATAAGTTTCTGTAATGATAATAGTGAAAGTTTAAATGTACTACAAAATAAATTGAAAGGAATGTTGACTGGAAAGAGATTCTTTCTTGTTTTAGATGATCTTTGGAATGAAGAATTTAATGAATGGGAAGCCTTACAAACCCCTTTTAAATTTGGGGCTCCTGGGAGCAAAATTTTAGTAACCACCCGTACTGACAAAGTTGCTTCAACTATGCGCTCAACTAAAATATATTCACTGAAGTGTTTAAAAGAAGAAGATAGCTGGTTGTTGTTCAAAGAATATGCTCTGTCCAATGGAGATGCTCATTTTTCAAATGTTGATATTGAGGCGATTGGTAGAGAAATTATTAAAAAATGCAATGGGTTGCCTTTAGCGTTAAAGACAATTGGGAGCTTACTGCACACAAGGTCATCTATTGAGGAATGGAATGACATTTTGAGAAGTGAAATATGGGAGGAGGGTAAAGATATTATTCCCCCAGCTTTAAGATTGAGCTATCGTCACCTTCCTTCTCTTCTCAAGAGATGCTTTGCTTATTGTTCAATATTTCCCAAAGATCATGAATTTAGTAAAGAACATCTTGTTGAGCTGTGGATGGCTGAGAATTTTTTCACGAGACAACAAAAAAAAGACTTAAAGGATGTAGGAGATCAGCTGTTTCATGATCTTTTATCGAGATCATTTTTTCAAAAAGCAAGTGGAGATAAAACGTGCTATGTCATGCATGATCTTATTAATGATCTGGCAAAGAATGTTTCTGGGGAATTTTGTTTGAGGTTGCAGGATGCAAAAGCACAAAACGTCTTGAAAGTTACCCGCCACTTTTCATATATTAGAGAGCGTTGGGGTGATTCTGCTGGAAAATTTGAAATTATATGCAATGCAGAGAAATTGCGCACTTTCATGCATGATTCGCGGCATGATCCCTTTTTGTTTGTGTCCAACAATATGATAAAAGATTTGTTGCTCAAATTTAGGTGCTTGCGTGTCTTAAATTTGTCAGGATATAGCAACATCATTAAATTGCCCAAGTCTATCGGCAAGCTTAAGCATCTACGTTATTTGGATCTTTCGAAAACCGGTATAAAAAGACTACCCGATTCAGTATGCTCACTTTATAACTTGCAAACGCTGAAGTTGGGGTTTTGTGAGGGTTTGGAAGAATTGCCCAATGACTTGCACAAACTCATAAATTTGCGGCATCTTGATTTTCGTGAAACTAAGGTGAAAAACATGCCAAAGAGAATGGGGGAGTTAAGAAATCTTCAAGTTTTATCATCATTTGTTGTGGGCGAATGTGAAGAGACGGACATCAAGCAATTAGGCGATCTTGATCTTGGAGGAGCATTGTCTATTTTAGATTTGCAAAATGTACTAGATCCTGAGGAATGCTTAGCTGCCAATTTAAAAAATAAAAGACACCTTGAGGAGTTAGCATTGGGTTGGAGCATGAAGAATGAAGAATCTCACCAAGAAAGGGATGTGCTGGAGAATCTCCAACCTCCCCAAAACTTGAAAAATCTATCAATTAGCAACTTTGAAGGTCCCAATTTTCCAAATTGGTTAACAGATAATACATTATCATATGTGGTGTCGATAGAGTTGATAAATTGCAAATATTGTTTATCCTTGCCATCACTGGGTCTATTGTCAACTCTCAAGTCACTCTCAATCATAGGTCTCGATAGTGTTGTGGTTGTTGGTCCTGAATTTTATGGGAATAATTCTTGTAAAACTTCATTTGCGTCTCTCGAGATCCTAAGATTTAAGGGAATGAAGGGATGGGAGGAGTGGAATTGTGAAGATGTAGATGGTGCTTTCCCATGTCTGCGTGAGTTTTCTTTAATAAGATGTCCCAAGTTGAAGGAGCAGCGCATTCCAGCACTGCTACCTTCTTTAATGAAGCTAGTCATCGTCGATTGCGAGCAGCTTGTGGATTCACTTTTGCGGGCTCCATCTGTTCATGAATTGGTACTACAAAGCTGTGGAAAGGTGCAATTGGAATGCCTTCCATCAACTCTAAAAGATCTTGCCATCAGGGAACCCTTCACAGAATGCTTTTCGGTTGAAACGTTTGAGAATATGGTTGCCCATACTTGCCTTGAAAGATTGATCACTTTAAATTTCGCTTCTCTGGGATTCCCATTGCCGCATGGTCATAATTTCCTTCAAGGAATACGGATACATGGCTGTGACTCCCTAAGGACCTTCCCGCTTGATTTATTCCCCAATCTTCAGGTACTAGAATTAATGCAATGTGGTAATCTTGAAACATTTATCTGTTGGTGAGGGGCACGATCATCATATGAATTCCCTTGTGTCTTTGAAACTAATCGAGTGCCATAAATTTGAATCATTTCCAAAAGGAGGATTTTCAGCCCCCAAATTGGTTGAATTTCGTGTTGAAAGACTAGAGAGTTTAAAATCACTTCCAGAGCGCATGCACATCCTCTTTCCAGCGTTGTGTTTTATAAGGATAGAGGGCTGTACGCAAGTGGAATCATTTTCTGAGGGTGTTTTGCCAAGAAATCTGCAGGGTCTTGAAATCAGGAGTAGCCAGAAACTGATGGCATCTCGAAAGGAGTGGGGCTTGCATAATCATACTTTCCTACAAGCGTTGGCCATTCAAGATGAAGAAGCTGAATGTCTTCCTGAACCAGACTTGTTGCCACCTACTCTTACCACAATTTATTTTTACGATTGTTCAAATCTTGCAACTTTGGATTATAAGGGTCTTCACCACTTATTGGCTTTGCGGGAATTGCATCTGTTTGGGTGTCCTAAACTCAAATGCTTCCCAAAGAAGGGTTTGCCAAGTTCCATTCATACTTTGTTCGTTTGGGGAAGTCCGAAGCTTAAAAAGCGGTGCCAAAAGAAAAAAGGCAGAGAGTGGTCAAACATTGCTCACATCCCCCAAATTGCCTTCGATGGTGATGTACTAAGTTGAACTGCCCAATCACAAGGGCCTTCAACATCAAATTTGATGGCCTCTCATCAGGTACCAAGTTAGATTTTCTGCTTTTCCCTTTCTCCACTGCTCATCTCTTATGCACTCACATGCAACACCTTTTACAGAAATAAATAAATAAGGGAATAAAAGTAAAGCATCAAATCACAAGGGCCCTGGATGTTGTTGTCCTTGGAAATCATGCCCTAGAGAAGCACCTCGTTGAAATATGGTTTGCTATAAATAATAATGAGTTGTATTATTTACAGTATTGTTTTTTATAAGTTTTACATTTTGTATTAAAGATACTTAATTGGAGTATAATTTCTATCTTGTGAATATTATTCTAATTTGAGAAATATGGTTTAATTTGTGTTTGGCCGCTGATTCTTGTCTTTTTTCTATATTATCCTTCCATGCATGTATTAATTCCGCAAGGATCCATATAATTTGTCATGTTTAAATACACATGATGTCATATATTTACCAAATTTAGCATGTAGGAGATGCTATAGAATATGTATTCACTAGTCTTTAGTTGAAACCTTCGACAGCTGTCAGCTTTGAAGAGAAACATTTATGCATGACACTGTGAAGAGAAGGAGCAGCTGGCGACCCATTTTCTTCAGACACAACATTAGTCACCTTTCTTTCCATTGACAAGCTCTCATAAATGGTCCAGTGAACAAACGAACTCTTTTGATATTATTCTTGGATTTGTGAACACAGAGACTCCGATGTTTTGCAAAGGAAGGTCTACTTATTCCCAATTGTTCTCTTCACATTTCAGGGCTTCAGGCTATAATCTTTGGTTCATTGATCAAGAAGACATGGTAGCATAGGGGAAGGAATCCCATTCCTTGCTTACTGATAGATAGTGATTGGAGTCACAAATCATTAATGAGATGATCACCGACTCTAATTGCTTAACAACGTTTCTGGTACTTTCTCTGGCATAGGAATTTCAAATCCAAAACTTTGTGCATTACGTATTTGAATATTGCTTTTTTGGTTCTTGATGCTTCAATTTACCATGTCATTTTTGATAATTTGGATTATCACCTGTATAGAACTACAGGGGAATTCCCAGCTTAAAGGTGATTTCTCTTCTCTTACCTGGATTTCCATTTTTGCATATAGTACCATGTGTTGATTCATAATAATTTTGAATCCAAAAACATGTGGGCTGAAGACACATGACATACATTTTTGTTGAGCAAAGCCAGATTGCAATCTAGTTTTCTCTACTTTGGTTAAAATGTGTTAATATTTGATCCTGGTTTAGGAGATGTCAACTGAGTTTATGTTTTATTCTTATGCGCTTTAAAAAGCCCACTTAGCTTCAGTTCATACTGTACCAAAAGCGCAAGAGACAAATGCAAAATAACAAAATATCTAACAAGTAATCTTTTTGCAATAGGTCTATATTTATTGGTAAAATCTCAAAACCAAAGAATGTGCTCTGAAGAAAGAAAGATTTATGTCTAAAGGGTGGAAACCACAAGCCAGCGATGAAACTGCACTGCCTGGTTATGAAACTCAAAAGAAGGCCGCTGCAGCATGGCAAGAATGCAAAAGGTAGAAGCCAAGATCCAAAGCCATGAATGGTCTCAAAATATGAACACTAGAAGGTGAGAGAATTCATAGTTCTCCAACAACTGGATTATTCAATGACAATGCAAAATCTGCCCTTCTCTCACTTATTTCTCTCTCTCCTCTTCTGCACTAGTTTTGTTAAAAAATTGGTTTAATTTCCCCTCATTTTCTATACCTATCAAAGTTACGATCTGTTAAAGGATTGTGCCTATTTTGGGTTTGGGCTCATTTTTATAGCACGCTTGATGCTAACAAATCTTGTTCTTTCTATATAGCATGCATGACGCACGTAAGAATTACAGTGTGCTTGCTTGCTCGCTTTTCAAGGTTCTCCTTTGCAAGATTTTCTAGTGAATACACACACGCACACATTATATGATAATAAGTCATCATACAGATATGCTTATAAATCCTTTTCGAAGAAAAATGATAAAATCCCAAAGCCATGTCATTTGTTTTTGTGTCGAAGGTTTTGCTATGCAAGCCACAGTAGCTTTGGATGCAGAAGAATTTATCCTTGTAGTCTTGTGTACATATAAATTCAACATGCTTGGCTTTCAATCTGGAAATTCTAATTGGGTTATTTATTCAAGAGATGGAACTTCTTGGAAAGTCTCAGATAAGGTGGCTTTTAACAATATTGTGTATATTATTTTAGTTGTCATGTATTCTCAGGCGTGTAATCTTTTTTGCAGCAGGTCCATATATTTCTCTGTAAAAACAACACCAGAGGAGTTGGGGCAGAACATGAGTGCAGACCTAATGTGCTCTAAAGGAAAATAGATTTCTGCTTAAAGCGAGGCATCCTAGCCTCCAAATAGTCTTGTATGTGGATGGAATTAAATTCCAAAATTGATTTGAAAGAAAATGAAATCTTGTTTTTAAGTGAGAGTAAGCCACTCCATTGGACTGCCTAGCTATGAAATCCCATCAAGCATTGAAGATCAAGATAACAAAGTGCATTCAGGGCTGTTAAAATCCATCTTCTTACTGAATCTTGACAATCACACAGATTGTGCTATTCTTGTACTGTCGTTCATTGGATACACTCATTTAGTGGTTAAACTTGTGAATAAGTCTTGTGAGCATCAACGTCCTTTCATTTTGTCTTTTGTTTTTCAAAAAAGAAAAAAGAGGAGGAGAAGAAGAAGAAGAAGAAGAAGAAGAAGAAGAGGTTGTATAGAAGTTCATGGCCTCCATGTTGCAAGATATTTACTGGGTTCTCAGCCAAAAAATTTGCCTTAAGCTTCGGTTGTGGAGAGTAATGGTTAGTTAATTTGTTGTACACGTGAATAATGGGTTAGTGTGCTTGAGTGCCTTCTTGATTGTATTTTGATTAATTACTCCTTTTTCAAAGTCTCTTTGTGCTTGAGATAATGTTAGATTCCAGTTTTGACTCTGAATGTTCTTACCTTACGTGCTTTTTAGCAGATTTACAGAGATTCAATAATTGTTTCCGGAGGGAGGGAAATGAAGCCATTATCATGATACAGTGACTTTAGCAAACTGATAAAAATAGTGATGGAGCTGCTTTCAATTCTTAATATATGTTGAGAAGGACTTTATGTAAGAATCTTTTTATGAGGGTTGACATTATAGAGAAGTATGAAGAGGGGCAAACCTGACTGCTGCAAACATTCTCTCAAAGGGTCACATACCATCAGAGTTATTCTTCGAGACACAATCTAGTTTTGTGCTACATCTCCAAAACCTGAACAAGCTTAACTCTGAAGCTTGTTCTTATCCATATTACTTTGATCTTTCAATAAAAGAAGACCTTCAAAACAGAGTTTTCTTTCATATCTTATGTCGGCAGGTCTCACTTTCTTTCTTTCTTTCTTTTTTTTAAATTTCATTATAGAAATGCTCGAATTTTATCTAGTTGGATAGTCAAAATAAAAAATATATATATCATTTTTTTATTATCATTATGTTTCTTTTTTTATTTCATAAAAATGCTCGAATTTAATCTAGTCATTTTTTTGTTCTTATGTGTTTTATAATGCCAATTTGCATCCTGTTTAATTATATTGTGCAAAATTAGAGCAAGGGGAGAAATGCCAAATTGCAATGCATATACATGTACGTACACATATTTTTTTTTTTTCTTGAGGTATTTTTAAAATTACATTTCTAGATAGACTTAACTAATTTTTTGCTTTTTGAAATGAACTTTTAAAAAATATCTTAACAGATCTAAGAAATTATTTGTTAAAATAGTTTTTAAAAGTTATAACCGAACATACATTTAGTTTTTCATATATTGTAACAAGTAATCCTTTTGGAATAGGTTCATTATGATTATATTCATACCTTACTACTACCAAATGTAATTAATTCATTATCAGGGGAAATATGAAATCAAGAAATAGGTAGAAATCTCATATTTTTCACGTCCACGTAAGTCATCAACAAGAGGCATGAACTATAATTGCTGTGAATCAAACAAATCACTTGCTGAGTCCAAAGTCTTGATAATTCAACTTCATTATAATAATAATAACTTCTCACCTGATAACATTTTTACTTTGGTTCTTATTATTTTAACTTTTTTATTTTTCCAGTGATTCATGACATATGCTTGCACGCTGACATGCAGGCTTTGGTTATATTTTTCCAATCATAATTTTTATTCAAACAATAACAACTTTTATTTTATAAATTATAAAAATTAAATAAAAAATTATAACTTTTTAAGTGAATTTTTTTATAATGAATAAATAAGTTTTAAAAATAATCAGTCTTAATTATAACTTTTATTTAAATAATCATAATTTTGATTATATAAATAGTAAAAATTGAATAAAAAATTATAACTTTATATATGAAATTTCTTTTATTATTAAAATTCAAGTTCTGACATGACCAAAAAAAAGTTCAAGTTTTAAAAATAACCAATCATAACTTTATTTAAATAATTACAACTTTTATTACACAAATAGTAAAAGTTGAACAAGAAATTACAACTTTTCACATGAAATTTTTTTTATTATTGAAGTTCGAGTTTTAAAAATAACGGGGAATGGCATTAAGGGCCTTAAAAATAAACTTTATTACAATTTGGACTTAAACAAATCTGTTATTGCTTTGGGGGCCTTTGTTGCCAATTTTCTTAAAGTCAAAAGTACGATTTTGCCCTTTGTTTGATTTGAATTCAGAAAACCTGCATGAAAAACTTGAAGCAATGAATTCTATCTCTTCTTTCTCATTTCTTCAGTCGTCGCTCTGCCATTGTTGACTATCGACGGTGTGGACGAGTGTAGAAGTCTTGGCTATTAATACTTCAACCACAGATCATGATTTTTCATCTCTTTCGTTGCATTGAGTTGCTATTGATTGCTATTGATCACTGTGACCCCTGAAATTCAGCCCTTTGCTATCGTTGGAGGAGGACTATGCCAGTCGGGATCTTCCTCTCCATTCATTCTTCTTCCTTGTTCCTCCCTTATTGTGCATTCTCGTCAGTTCTTTCCTTCATTTTCCCTTACTTCGCATATCACCAGAAAAGAATGCTAACATTTAGTTTTTCCTCTTTCAACTTATGCTTTGTGCTAATAGGCAATAAATCTTTGCTTTGTATTAGCCTACAGTAGAATAAAGCTCTAATGTGCTCCTTGTTTTGAACCTAAAACCCAAAACCTGTGATAGCTCAAAATAATATGACTTTCAGTTGAGAATATATAAACCTTGTGTTGTGCATAGTGGATATTGTGTTGTATATTGTTTGTCTAAATTGAACATTTTATTAAGCCTAGCTTGCTGATAAACTGAAATCGCACGGACTTTTTAGTTGAAAGTATATGAACCTTATATTGTGCACAGTAAATTTTGTGTTGCACATTGTGTGCCTAACTTAAGCATTTTGTTAATTCTAGCCTACTGATAAACTAAAATTATATGAACTTTTAGTTGATAATATATGAACCTTGTATTGTGTATAGTAGATATTGTGTTATAGATTGTTTGCCTACTTGTACATTTTGTTAAGCCTAGCCTACTAATAATAAAGTAGAATTATATGGACTTTTAATTGAGAATATATGAACTTTATATTGTGCATGGTGGATATTATATTATACATTATTTGCCTACTTGTACATTTTGTTAAGTCTAGCCTACTGCTGATAAAGTAGAATTGTATGGACTTTTAGTTGAGAATATATAAACTTTGTGTTGTGCATAGTAGATATTGTATTATACATTATTTGCTTATTTATGCATTTTGTTAAGCTTAACCTACTGATAAAGTAGAATCATATGGACATTTAGTTGAGAATATATGAACCTTATATTGTGCATAGTGGATATTGTGTTATGCATTGTTTGCTTGCTTGTGCATTTTTTTGAGCCCAGCCTACTGATAAAGTAAAATCGTATAGACTTTTAATTGAGAATAAATGAACCTTATATTGTGCATAGTAGATATTGTGTTATACATTGTTTGTCTATTTGTGCATTTTGTTAAATTTAGCCTACTGATAAAATAGAATCGTGTGGACTTTTAATTGAGAATATATGAACCTTATGTTGTGTATAGTGGATATTGTGTTGTGCATTGTTTGCTTACTTGTGCATTTTATTAAGCGTAGCCTATTAATAAAGTAGAATCATATAAACTTTTAGTTGAGAATAAATGAACCTTATATTATGCATAGTGGATATTGTGTTATGCATTATTTGCCCAACTTCAATATTTTGTTAAACCTAACATAATGATAAATTGAAATCACATAGACTTTCAGGTGAGAATATATTACAAACTTTCTTTTCTTACAACCGTCTTTAACTAGCCATCCTCCTGAGAGACCACAAACAAGGAGGATAGAGTCTTTCAAAATAAGAAGATTTATCATTGTTCAAAATATGAAGAGGTTGAACACAGTCGCAAGACATGCAAGAATCTTAACCCATCATGAGAAGTAGTTACATTGTACTTCTTTTTTGTACATAGGCAACTATAATTATGTCTATGAAAGTATTTTCAAGTAATATTTTTTGGGTAATTAGAAATCACAGATATTTTTTATTTATATATAGAGAAGCAACTGTTAGATATTTTGGACATAGTGACTAACTTTTTGTATATATAAGACTTGAAATATTATATCAAATTTCATGTGGGCACTTGTTTTAGTATCTAGACTAATATCAACATGAAATTTTTCATATCTAATGTAACTGTCCTTCTTAATATTGAAAATGCATGGACTTTCTATTAAGTATGCATGAACATCGTCTTGTGCATAGTAAATGTTGTGTCATGCATGGTTTGCCTAATGTCATTTTATTATAGCCTAGGTTAGTGAAATATTGAAAATGCATTGATTTTTTTTGTTGAACACGCATGGACATTGTTTTATACATAGTGGATGTTGTGTCGTACATAGTTTGCCTAGTCATTTTTGTTAAAGCCAAGGCTAGTGAAATACTTGAAATGCATGAACTTTCTGTTAAGCATGTGTGGGCATCGTCTTGTGAATTGTGGATATTGTGTCGTGCATGATCTATTTTGTTGTTTCGAAGGTTCACGCAGGTTTTGAATTCAAATTAAACAAAGGACAAAATCATACTTTTGGTTTCAAAAAAATTGACAATAAGGGCCCCAAGGTCTGCAGAGTAATATCATATTCATTTAGGCTTAAATTGTAATAAAGTTTATTTTTAAGGCCCTTAGTGCCATTTTTCCTAAAAATAATCAGTTACAACTTTTGTTTGAACAATCACAAGTTTTATTATGTAAATCACAATAATTAAACAAGAAATTAATTCTTTCCACGTAAACACGTTATTTTTTATTTTAAATAAAGGATAATTTTGTCATTTAATTTAAAATTATTAATGTAAAAAAGATACTCCTTTTGTTTTAAATTATAAGACACTTTTAGACAAAATCTCATATATCAATAAACCTCATTAAATACATCTAAAAATCTTATTTTTTTAAAATAAAAATATAAACTTTAAAAAAATATCTATCATTTAATATATTGAAAAGAAAAAGGAACAAAAATTAATTATAAAGAGAGAAAGGATAATATTAAAATTAACATATTTAATAAAACTTTAATCTATTTAAGTGTCGTATATTTTAAGATGAAAAATTTTTTAAAAAATATTCTATAATTTAAGACGAAAGGAGTACATAAAAATTTTAAAAAAATTATAATATTTTAAAAGATTTGACTGTGATTTATATATCAAATTTTTTTTTTATTATTCATAGCATATACCTGTACGCTGAAATGCACAGGACAACTGTTTTTTTTTTTTTTTAACCAAAGAAAGGACAACTGTTTATGGACTCCAAAAAAGCAAGCACAAAGCTCAACTTTCTATGCTTTAAAACCTCGTCAAGTGAACCAAACAAACTTGAAATATAATTTCAGTTGTTTAGATAGGGTTTTGAATCGATTTTTTGGACCAAGATCAATTATTGAATGAGTATGACAGCATAATTTCCTCGCAAATCGATTTTACCCCTCCAAATCGATTCTGCAACAGGCTACTCCCTCCTAGCTTTTAAAGATCGATTTTGTCCCTTGAGTTGACAGATTTTGTCCCATCCCAAATATGCCCCTGCAGCCATTTCAAAATGAGCAATTAATGCCCTCTCTTTTACACTTTCATTCTTCATTTTTTACTCTATTTATATTTTTTATTCTTTTATAGTATTTATTTATAAATATGTTTGCTTTCAATGATTTTAATTATTCTTGCCTTGATCAAAATGTGTTTAAAAATTTCTCACCATGTATTTTATTTTTATTCTATCATCCACTTTTCATCCGCATTTATTATTTATTTTTTATTAACATATTAAATGGATCACTATTATATACTCTTTTTAATTTTATTTACAAGAATAAAATTATAAAATTATTAATAATTTAAATAAATTTAAATTTATATAATTAATCAAGTCTATGAGTTAAATAATATATTTTATTTCTTAAATAAAGTTGATCAAATTTAATATTATATACAATTTTATTAATATTTTAATTTTCAAACATAATGTCTTTTATAATAATTTGTACATTTAAAATTAATTTTAAACTAAAACATTCAAACATTTTCAATTATGTCAAAATTAACTTTAAAAAAATAATATTTAAACATAATCACATTATAATATAATTAATTATAATTAAAATTAATTATATTTATTAATTTTTTATAATTAATTATATTCAATTGAAATTGCCCTTTGTGTAAATCAAAGAAATCCACTCGCTGCCTCACGAGCCCCGATATTCAAACTTAATTAACAACTAGTAGTCGCCGAATCACGTGTTGGCATATTCTAAAACATCTTTTTATTTTTTATTTTTTATGAGTACTCCTCCTCAATATAACACATTTAACTAAATCATATTCCCAATAAATTCATTAATTATTGCTAAAATTATATACTCTTTTTTATATTTATTTATAAATAAGGTGTTTTAATTAAAAAATATTATTTTTTACATCTCTAATTAAAGATATTTTTTTAAAAAAATCTTATTAATTATATATTGAAAGAACTAAAATATCTTATAATTTTTAATATCCTATTTCAGAAAAAATATCTTTTATTTTGTAACCGAGAAAGTAATTTTTTGCTTTTGAGATTTTGGTTCTTTCCCAATTTTCATTTCGGGGTCAGAATCAAAAAAATACACATCCCATTTGGTCACAGGTATCTTGACCGATAAAATGATAATCATGTCTCCATTCCTCTCACCTATGTTTGGTTGCTTGTAAGAGATATGGAATGATATTTTTAAGAATATAGATTATTATATTTTTAAAAATAGAAAAGTCTTTGAAAAATGGAAGGAACTATGTTACCCACTTTAAATTCAATATATTTTTACAAAAATATCCCTGTAAATCACACCACCTTTTTATTTTTCATTTTATTTGTTATTTTTTATTTACAATATTTTTAATCTTATAAAAAATAATATAAATAAACTTTATTTCCACATACTTAAATATTTTACCAAACAAATTTACAGTCATGATCATTCCCTTCCGTTCCATTCCTCATCATTTCATTCTTTTCTGTTATCTTCTTTTTCAAAAACCAAACGTGACCATACTCTATTTACATATGAAAAATTCTCACTATATATATATATATATATATGCCAATGGTTACTTTCATTAAAATTCAAAACAGTGCAAGACTTTCATTACAAACAAAGCAAAGCAGATCAAGATAACATTTAGCCAATGCCATCACTTGGTGCCTCAGCATCCAAACCTAGAGAAGAGAGTCCTCACCTCGCTATATTAAGTTTCTAGTTTTCTTGACAGAGTATATTATATACACTAACTATTTTTTTTAATCTTGAATTTAACATATCTTTAAAATTACACAACTGTTTATTTTGAAAAAGTACTAAACATATATTTAAAATAAAGAATAAAAAACATGATCCATTCTTGAATTTATTTTTATAATTTAAACAAAATTTCAATAATTTGTGTAATTTAATTTTTATTTTGGGAACAAATTCAAATATACTTGGAAAAAAAAATCTGCATAATCTAAGCAAATGAAAGATTGAATATAAAATAGATATAATCTTAAATAAGAATAACAATCGTGATGTTGGATTGGTTTCGATTTCCAACCTGTGCTCCTTTTTTCGCTAAAATTCTTAATGAGAACTATTCTTATTATTACTTATTAGCAATTAAGTGAATTTTTAAACACGTATAATTTAGTGAATAAATTATATTATCTGGTGAAAATTAGGACAGTTTTTTAAATAATTTTTCTTATACCTGGAAAGATAAAAAGCTGCATACCCTATAAATAAATAAATAAATAAATGTACAAACTATTTTTTATTTTAAATAAAAATTTGAAGATAATTTTGTTTGATAGTAAGAACCTAGCTAAATCAACTGCAATGAATGTTTTGTACAAGAGACATTATGAATTTATAAGAAGCAATGAGGGGGAGGGGGCATAAATATCGAATGTTACATTTTACTAATTTTTTACATCGACAAATTGCACGTAATATATTGCCTTGGCTAAATATTTGGCAGGGCAATTTAGTATTAGTGATTACCTTGACAAATAGCATTACATTTGTTTCAAAGCATGTTTGGGTGTATGAAAACAGCTTTGGCATCAGAATTTTTTGGAGCGTCGCACAGAGAAGAAAATGCAAGTTTTAACAAGAATAAAAATCAATGCATGGAGGAAGAGGAGATGCTAGTTTTAACAAGATCATAATAGTCATAATGTTGGAATGGAGTTTCCTTCATTCTTTTGTCATTTTCAGTTTCGTTTTTCTTTGCTAGAATATTCAATTCTTTTCTCACTTTCAAGTGATGAAAATCAGCTTTTATTGTCACTAAAAAAAATGGTAAGATCATCGGGGCAGCAAGTGGGAGGAGGCGAGAGACGCCATTTTGGAAGTGGAGCAGAATCAGATAAAAGTCTCTGTCTTGTTGTGAATTTGCTAGCTGGCATTCATCGCATTTGGTCAGTCACGTAACATATCTATGAAGCCCCCTTTACCACGCATTGGCCGCCTTGCCTTCCTTTTCTTCGTCTGCTGTATCACTTCCTCCCTCAAGTTTCTTCTCTGCAAAATCATCCATGGCTCTTGAAGCAGTTGGCGGTGCTGTTATCTCTTCTTTCCTCCAGGTGGCTTTTGAAAGGCTGGCTTCCCGCGAAGTGCTTGACTTCTTCCGAGGCAGGAGACTGGACCAGACGTTGCTGGACAAGTTGAAGATCTGTATGTTATCCCTCAATGCTGTGATTGACGATGCAGAGCAAAAGGAGATCACCAATACAAATGTGAAAGCTTGGCTTGATATGGTCAAAGATGCTGTTTATGATGCTGAGGATGTCCTTGATGAGATCGACTACGAAAAAAAAAGCGTGCGGTGGAAGGTAAATCACAATCTGGTCCTGTGACACGCGAGGTACGAAACTTCTTATCTGGTTCTGCTAGTTTATTTGACAAGCAAATCGAATCAAGGATCAAACAAGTCCTTCACACCCTAGAATATCTTGAAAGTAAAAAGGATATACTAAGATTGAAAGAAGCCGGAGGTGCAAGTGTTGGACCAGTGAGAAAGGTTCCGACAACTTCTTTGGTGGATGAAACGAGAATTTATGGTAGAAATGAAGATAAAGAAGCGATCATTCATGAGTGGTTGCTATCAGAAAATGACAATAGCAATCAGTTATCCATCCTTTCCATAGTGGGTATGGGAGGGTTAGGTAAGACCACTCTTGCGCAGTATGTTTACAATGATGTGAGGGTGCAAGATGGATTTAAGCTCAAAGCATGGGTATGCGTTTCAGATGACTTTGATGTTACAAGGGTGACTAGAGCCATTATTGAGGCCATTACTTTGTCTAATGACGATAGTAAAGATCTAAATGTACTACAAAATAAATTGAAGGAGATGTTAACAGGAAAGAAATTCTTTCTTGTTTTGGACGACCTTTGGAATGAAAAATTTATTGAATGGGAGGCCTTACAAACTCCTTTCAAATTTGGGGCTTCTGGAAGCAAAATTTTAATAACCACCCGCAGTGACATTGTTTCTTCAACTGTGCGCTCAACTAAAACACATTCATTGATATATTTAAAAGAAGAAGATAGTTGGTTGTTGTTCAAAGAATATGCTCTGTCCAATGGAGATGCTCATTTTTCAAATGTTGATATTGAAGCGATTGGCAGAGAAATTATTAAAAAATGCAAGGGGTTGCCTTTAGCGTTAAAGACAGTTGGGAGCTTACTGCACACAAAATCATCTATTGAGGAATGGAATGACATTTTGAGAAGTGAAATATGGGAGGAGGGTAAAGACATTATTACCTCGGCTTTAAGATTGAGCTATCATCACCTTCCTTTTCTTTTCAAGAGATGCTTTGCTTATTGTTCCATATTTCCCAAAGATTATGAATTTAGCAAAGAGCATCTCATTGAGTTGTGGATGGCTGAGAATTTTTTTAGTGCACAACAAAGAAAAGACTTAAAGGTTGTTGGAGATCAATTGTTTCATGATCTTTTGTCAAGATCATTTTTTCAACACTCAAGTGGAGATAAAACGTGTTACGTCATGCATGATCTTATTCATGATCTGGCAAAGAATGCTTCTGGGGACTTTTGTTTTAGGTTGCAAGAAGCTAAAGCACAAAACCCCTTGAAAGTTACCCGCCACTTTTCATATATTCAAGAGAATTTCGGTGATTCTGCTAGAAAATTTGAAATTATAAGCAATGCAGAGAAATTGCGCACTTTCATGCATGATTTGTCGTCTGATCCTTTTTTGTTTGTGTCCAACAATATGATACAAGATTTGTTGCTCATATTTAGGTGCTTGCGTGTCTTAAATTTGTCAGGATACAGCAATATCATTAAATTGCCCAAGTCTATCGGCAAGCTTAAGCATCTACGTTATTTGAATCTTTCAAAAACCGGTATAAAAAGACTACCCAATTCAATATGCTCACTTTATAACTTGCAAACGCTGAAGTTGGGGTTTTGTAAGGATTTGGAAGAATTGCCGAATAAGTTGCACAAACTCATAAATTTGCGACACCTTGATTTCTGTGAAACTAAGGTGAAAAATATGCCGAAGAGAATGGGGGAATTGAGAAATCTTCAAGTTTTATCATCATTTGTTGTGGGCGATTGTGAAGAGACTGGCATCAAGCAGTTAGGAGATCTTGATCTTGGAGGAGCATTGTCTATTTTAGATTTACAAAATGTAACAGATTCCAAGGACTGTTTAGTTGCCAATTTGAAAAATAAAAGACACCTTGAGGAGTTAGCATTTGGGTGGAGCATGAAGAATGGAGAATCTCACAAAGGAAGTGACGTGCTCGAGAACCTGCAACCTCCCCAAAACTTAAAAAAGTTGTCAATTAGCAACTTTGAAGGTCCCAGTTTTCCAAATTGGTTAACAGATAATACATTATCATTTATAGTGTCGTTAGAGTTGATGGATTGTAAATATAGTTCATCCTTGCCATCATTGGGTCTGTTGTCAACTCTCAAGTCACTCTCAATTGTGGGCCTTGATAGTGTTGTGGCCGTTGGTCCTGAATTTTATGGGAATGATTTTTGTACGACTCCATTTGTATCCCTTGAGATCCTTAGATTTGAGGAAATGAAGGGATGGGAGAAATGGAATTGTGAAGATGTACATGGTTCTTTCCCATGTCTGCAAGAGTTTTATTTAAAAGGATGTCCCAAGTTGAGAGAGCTGCAAATTCCGGCACAACTTCCTTCTTTAACATCGCTAATCATCTCTAATTGCAAGCAGCTGGTGGCTTCACTTTTGCGGGCTCCATCTGTTCATGAATTGATGCTATTAAACTGTGGAAAGGTGCAATTGGAATGCCTTCCATCAACTCTAAAAGTTCTCCGCATCGGGGAACCCTTCACAAAATGCTTTTCGGCTGAAATGTTTGAGAATATGGTTGCCCATACTTGCCTTGAAAACTTGGTAATTGCAGATTGCTCTTCTCTGGGATTTCCATTGCCGCATGGTCATAATTTCCTTCAAAGAATATCGATATGCAACTGTGACTCCCTAAGGACCTTCCCTCTTGATTTATTCCCCGAGCTTAAGATATTAGAATTAAAGCAATGTGATAATCTTGACACATTATCTGTTGGTGAGGGGCAAGATCATCGTGGAACTTCCCTTCTGTCTTTGAAACTGATCGAGTGCCACAAATTTGAATCATTTCCGAAAGGAGGAATTTCTGCCCCCAAATTGAATGAATTTTATGTAGAAGGACTACAGAGTTTAAAATCACTTCCAAAGCGAATGCACATCCTCTTTCCAGCATTGAGGGCTCTAGAGATATTGGACTGCCCACAAGTGGAGTCATTTTCTGAGGGGGTTTGCCAAGGAATGTGAAGGTTCTTTTTATCAAGGGAAGCCAGAAACTGGTGGTGTCTCGAAGAGAGTGGGGCTTGCACAATCATACTTGCCTACAATTTTTGAGAATTCAAGATGAAGAAGCCGAGTGTCTTCCCGAACCAGACTTATTGCCACCTACTCTTACTCTTCTTGTTATTGAAGGGTGTTTCAATCTTAAAACACTGGATTATAATGGTCTTCGCCACTTGTCAGCTTTGCAGCAATTACATCTGATAGTGTGTCCTAAACTCAAATGCTACCCAAAGGAGGGTTTGCCCACTTCCATTCATACTCTACATGTTATGAGCTGTCCAAAGCTTAAAAAGCGGTGCCAAAAGAAAAAAGGCAGAGAGTGGTCAAACATTGCTCACATCCCCCTCATTACTTTTGATGATGATGTACTCACTTGAATTGCTGAATCACAAGGGTCTTCAACATCAAATTGGGTAGCCTCATCAGGTACGAATTTACATTTTCTGCTTTCCCCTCTCTCCGCCGCTCACCTACTAATGCAACCAATTTTACAGGAAAAAATAAATAAGGGAATAAAAGCGAAGCATCTAGCCTTGGAAAATGGAAATCATAACATAGAGAAGTGTCTTGTTGAAGGGGAGATAAGGGGAAATCATTGCCCCGCTGTCACTTTAATTTTAAAAATTCCCACTCACAACACTTTTTTACTTTACATTTTATTTTATATATATATATATATAACTATTTCTGTGAATAAAATTTGAATTATTATAAATAATATTCATCCATTTATGCAACCGTGTGAAATTTAAATAATTTGTTATATTATTTATAGTATTGTTTACTATAAAATTTATATTTTATATTAAAGATACTTAACACGAATGTAATTTCTATCTTATGAATATTATTCTAACTTGAGAAAGAGTATGGTTTAATTTGTGTTCGGGAGCTGATTTTTGTTACCTTGTTTTCTAATTTCTGTAATATCCTTTCATGCATGTATTAATTCGGCATGAGATCCATATAATTTGTCATGTTTTAAACACATTTGAATTTATATATTTACCAAATTTAGCATGCAAAGGATACTATAGAATATGTATTTACTAATCTTTAGTTGAAATCTTTGACAGTTGTCAACTTTGAAGTGAAACATTTACCGAGCCTGAACAACATTAGTCACCTTTCTTTCCGTTGACAAACTCTCATAAATGGTGCAATGGACAGACAAATTCTTCTGATATTTATTCTTAGATGGTGAACACAGTCTGCACATTTGAGGCTATAATAGTTGGTTCATTGATCGAAAAGATATGGTTGCATAGGGGAAGAAATCACATTCCCTGCTTACTAATTGATAGTGATTGGAGTCACAAATCATCAATGAGATCATTACCAGCTCTAATTGCTTAGCGAAGTATCAGGTACCTTTTCTAGCACAAGAATTTCAAATCCTAAAACTTTTGTGCACTCTGTATTTTTTGGTTCTTGATTCTTCAATTTTCTCTGTCATTTGATAATTTGGGAAACTTCCTTTTTGTGGCTAGCAAAACGGTGGAAAAGCATGCCGGTGCACTGCAATAGATTACCCACATGTATTTAACTACAGGGGAATTCTCAGCTTAAAGGTGACTGCCCTTTTATTTTTATTTTTTTTACCTGAATGTCGATTTGCGCGCACACACACATATATATATTGGTTCATAATAATTTTGAATTCAAAAGGATGTGGGCTGAAGACATATGACATACATTTTTGTTGAACAAAGCCAAATTGCAATCTAGTTTCCCCCTATTTTGGTTAAAATGTTTTAGGGAAAATACAACCATTGGTTCTATACTTTTTATGTGTTTTGGTATTAGTCTCTCTAATTTTTTTCATTGTTTGTAGTCCCTTAAATTTCATTGTTAGTCTTTATTGTTACATAATATCCAACTTATCATAGCTTTATCAAGTTAGCACTGTATTTAATGGGGTTATGTACGTGTCAGCATAGTTAATTCCATTAGTGACGTTAAGAACTAATGTTGCAAAAGAATGAAACTTTAATGATTCGGAACAATGAAAAAATATTATAGAGACTAATACTAAAACAAGCTAAAAGTATAGGAAACAACAATTGTATTTTCACAGTTTTTTAATATTTAATCCTGTTTTTGGAGATGTTAACTGATCATTTACTGTTTTATTCTTGTGTACATAAGTGCAGGGGACAAATGCAAAATAGCAAAATATGACATTTCTTATCTGTCATGTTATATAAAACAAGTAATCTTTTTGCAATAAGTCCATATTTCTTGGTAAACGCTCAAAACCAGAGAAAGGGGAAGAACATGAATAGAGTCCTGATCTTCTCTCTGAAGGATGACAGATTTATTGTCAAGGCAAGGAAGCTGAGCAGCAAAACTGGACTGCCTAGTGATGAAATCCCAATAGGGTAGAAGCCAATATCAAAAGCCACCAATGGTATGAAATTATGAAGGCTAGGAGGTTGATGATAGAATTCAAGCTCTCCAACAACATGAAATCCATCCACCACAGCAACTTCTATGAAGCTTTTTCTCCAATTGACAAAGTACGTTCAAAGCTGTCAAAATCTGTGTTCTTATTGAATCTTGACTATCTCTGATATTTTCTCATTCTTGTATTGTCATTTTATTGTTTCCAAACACTTCTTTTTCTATGGTTACAAAGAGGAATCAAAAGGTTTCATTCTTGTGGCATCAACTTCCCTTCTTGTTGGAATAAAAAAAAAAAAAAGTAAATACAGTTGTTTTAGTTTGCCTTTAGATCAAGTTGTAAACATGGATTGTGCCTATTTTGGGTTACTGGGCTTACTGTTATAGCACGCCCCATGCTAAAAGATCTTGTTCTTTCTATTTAGCATGCATGATAGAAGAATATGCAATGTGCTTCCTTGCTTTTCAAGGTTCTCCTTTGCAGGATTTTCTAGTGGCTATATGTATATATATGTGATAACGATATGACATCATACAGATATGCTTATAAAGACTTGCAAGTTCAATAAGCTTGACTATCAATATGGAAATTCCAATTGGGTTATTTGTCCAGAGAGATGGAACCTCTTGGAAGGTCTAGGATATGGCGGTTTTTCATGATATTGTGTATGTTATTTTGCTAGTGATGCTGAAATAGGAACAGTGATATTGAGTTTTGAAATCTGAAATTTCTGCATCTTAATGATTAACAATAGTTTGGTTCAAGCTCAAAATTCAAATATTGGTATTCTTGTTCGGTCAACCAGGTGATTCTGCCATAGACCTCAACATTTTCCTGTATTTTGTTTAATCTTCATTAATGCTTAAGAATCGAGAAAAATTAACAATTATATTTCAGGAATTTCATGACTAGAAGAAAATTAGGGACCAAATTCAGTTAAAGATAGAATGCGATCATATATCAAAGCTAACTACTTAGGTTTCTACCAAATAACTTTTTGAAAACTGGAAACTTCAGCAAATTGTCCAAAGCAAAGATGCTACTATGATAGTTGCTGCATGCACAGAATTAAACCAATTAAATATCCAATAGAAGCAAGAATATGCTTCAATTTTTTTTTAAAAAAAAAAGAGGTTAAAGGGCTTTTTTTTTTTTCCTAAACTATTTTCTCAGAGAACCTAGTATTCTAAAGTTTCATGTAGTGTAATGTCTCTTTTCACTTTTAAATTTAGGATTGGAATGACTAAAATTAAAACATTCTTGTCCAACAACTTCAATTAATCCCATTGGCCTCAATGTTGGCATCTTAACCATTAACCTCCATACGTTTCGACAAACAAAAAGTAGTGATGAGTCATCTAACCTCCCACCATATGCTACACTGTTCCATCTTCACCTTAGGAATCGTGAAAACCAACTGTTCAAACTAAGTAAGCTTGAAAAAATTTTAGGTTTGGGTTTGAGAATTGGAAAAAAAAAATGAACCATTTGAATAAGCCTAAAAAAATTCAAATGAAACTCAAATTTAAATAGGCTTAAGCTAAATACTCAAATTTTTTTATTATTAATAAAATAAAATTAAAATAAGTTAAAAATTAAAAATATTAATTTTTAATATAAAATTGAAATTGGATTAAAAAAGAAAATATAAAATAAAATAATATTTAATAATTCTGATATTCAAGCCAACCCGAAAGATCAAGATGTTAAAATCAAGTTTTGTTATATAAATTTTTTTATATATTTTGATATTTTAAATTAATTTAAATAAGTTCTGCCTGCCTAAATTGAAGCTAACTTGCTCGAAATATTAGTTTTGCTTTAATTCTTTAATAAGGAACGTCATTTTCATGTGTTCTCTTCACATTTTGAATCACAATAATCTCCTATCTGTTGATCAAGATATGAGATTATAGGGGAAGCAAGAATTCACATTCTTTGAATTGAAGTAATCTTATCTTCAATGCAATTAATGAAAAACCATATAAAAATGAAATTCATTTATATCTAACAAGAACCCTATTTTTCAATACTTTGATCAAACAGCTATAAGACATTAAAATTGAATTCGACAAAGAGAAATTTGTTGTAATTCCTACTCTTGGGTATGGAATCTTAGTATCCAATTATGGATTGAAGTCTCATGTGCCAACCTTTGTTAATATAAAAGGGAAAACTTTAATTAACAATCGCGAGAGTCATTAAATTAATATAATATCCTTACTCTTTAATGCTAATAGAGCTTCGCAGTTAGCCCAAGCCCAAGGCCAGTTTAAGTCGGAAAGTCTCAATCAACACATTATGTTCATGTTCCTTTGACTAGCAAGTTTAGAAGAATCCAGGACCGAAGAACAGAGGCACAGCGATTCAGATTTCTGGAGGTGTGTTTGTTCTCCTTTGAGCTAAAAGTAGCAGATTTTTCTTATCCGAGTCTGCCGTTCTGCTTCAAATCCTCAGCTTGTTCATCGATTTGTACCTTTGTTGGCTCTTGTCTCTGATTCTGATTCTAATTTTAATTTACGGGGCTTATAATCTGTCTGTCTTCGTGTCCCTATTTTGCTTGGATTCTCTCCCCGCACATTATTATTTCAATATCAAAATTGGCCTTTCTTCATGATTCTGGATTACGGTGGAGTGAATCCATCTGGATAATCTATGAATTGTTCAGTAAGCTGATTCTGGAATCCTAGGTCATGATATCTAGATTGGACTGTAAATTTTTGTTCAAGGTCTGTGCTTCTTTTAATATATCCTCGAGTAATATCAACTGAAGGAAATAATTAAGTTTCTGCTTTTGGGGAAAATATCTGAGTTTGGTGTGAACAAACATAAAGTCAAACTCATTTGCGTGTCATTTTCATTTGCCGTATTGTAGCCATTGTTAACTTCAAAATTGGTTGTTGCAGATATATTCTTCTGTTGACAAACCACCATTAAGCAGTATCACTCAAAGTAAAGAAAGAAAATATGGATGATGGAGACATTAAGCTTTCAGATAGTTTCTTCTTGTCGAATCCAGAGTCATCTAGCAATGTTCAGTCTCCGACATCCATAAAATCAATGAATTCTTGAGGAACACCAGAACATGCACCCATACTCGCACTTGCAACCCTCCTGGCCCTGATGCAGCACATACCACACATGTTACCACACTCCCCACACCCCCCACCCCCCACTCCCACTCAAAACGAAAACGGCCTTCGGGTAATAGAGAAGCTGTTCGACAGTATGGGGAGGAGAAGGAGGCACAGACAGCTTACCTGGAGGAGGAAGTTAAGACACTGCGTCTGCAGAATCAGCAATTAGTTGTTTTAGTTTGCCTTTAGATGAGGTTGTAAACATGGATTGTTCCTATTTTGGGTTATTAGGCTTACTTTTATAGCACGCCCCATGCTAAAAGATCTTGTTCTTTCTATTTACTTCAGCATGCATGGCGGAAGAATATGCAATGTGCTTCCTTGCTTTTCAAGGTTCTCCTTTGCATGATTTTCTACCGGATATATCACAAATACATACACTCATACATATGTAAGCTAAAGTGTATTTCTTATCTTTTAACTTTATAAAGGACTTCAATTTAATTCTTTAATTTTATAAAGTATTTTTTTAATCCTCTAATTTTAACATAATTTGTTTCAAATGCTTATTTTTTGTGACAGTCATTGTTATTTTTTGGAAGAAAAATTAAACTTAATATGTCAATATTTAAAAATATTTTGTTGATATTTAAAAAATTTATTGTAATTTTTTTATGATGAAATTAACAATATTAGAGTTAAAAAACTGAAAAACACTTTATAAAATTAATAAAAAATAAACTATTATGTAAAGTTAAAAGATTAAATGGGTGTTTAGTTTTTAGTTTACCAAAACTCCATTTGTTAAAAGTTCATTTGATAAATGAAAGTTAATTGTTATAATGAAATGTGTATTTAAATATATTTTTTTAAAAATCAGTTTAATAAATTGAAAGTTGTTTGAATTATGATAATAAAATATTTTTTTAAATATATAATTACTAAAAAGGACATTGATTTATGATGAGTTATAATTTTTGTTACATAAATGTAATAAATTTAAAAGTTTTTAAAATTGTGATAAATAACATGAAATTTGATTTGTTAAATAAAAATTTGACACGCTGAATATTAAGTTCAGGAGTAAAGTTTTCTACATATCAAGGGCAAATTTAAGAGTTTTTAATATTTTATTGCAGTGATTAATTTTTTAATCCAATATAATATAACCAAATCAACATGAAATCAAAAAAAAAAAAACTATGTGAATATTTATTAATAGAATTTTTGCTTTTTTTAAAAAAGTATTATCTATAGACATTATAAGGATAAAAAAAGGTTGAATGGAGATGAATAAAAAAAGGGACAGGAGAGAAACATAAGAGGAAAAGGGTAATATAGTAAAATAAAGAATTAGGTATAAATTTAACCCCATTATTTAATATCCAAACTTAAATGTAAGCTCCAAACACTTCCAAAAGTTATATTGTCAAAATCTGCATTTACCCACTTATAGAAAGTACAATCAAAAAGTTCATTTTCCATATTAAAACATATTCCAATGATTTTCCATGTTTCAAAAATGAAAAAATACTTTTGGGACTATGAAAGTTAAAAAATCAAGCAGATCCTAGACATCTGACGTATGCTTATAGAAGCTTTGCTATACAAGACACCCTATAGCTTTTAATTATCAACAATAGCTTGGATCAAGCTCAAGAGTCAAAACATTGCAATACTTGTTCGGTCTGCCAGGTGATTCTGCCATAGGCCTCATTATTTTCCTGTATTTTTTAAATCTTCATTAATACTTGAGAATCGAGAAAAAGTAACAATTATTTTTCAGGAATTTCATCACTAGAAGAAAATTAGGGACCAAATTCAATTAAAGATAGAATGCGATCATATATCAAAGCTAACTACTTAGGTTTCTTCACCAAATAATTTTTTGAAGACTGGAAATTCCTAAGTATGGAATTGCCCATAGAAAAGACGCTACTATGATGGTTGCTGCATGCATAGAATTAAGCAAATTAAATATCCAATAAAAGCAAGGGCATGCTTCAACAGGGGGAAAAAAATCACTACATTTCTCACCCAGGCATCCTCCAAGAGGGTATATTGTTTGTCACCATTACATAATCTTAAATAGATGAATATGCTATTCCTCTGATCTTAAATGTAAAAGCTAATTGAAGGGTTTGCATGCCTTGTTTCTAAATGTAAAATCTCAAAGGGAGATTTTTATCAATAGAGATAGTTTTCTATGTGAGAATTTAATCTATTTAGGTGTCATAAACTCAAGTGCTTCTCAATGGAGGGTTTGCTCAGTTCCCTTCATTCTCTACATATTCAGCTTAATGATGCTAAATTTTAAATTAAATAATTTTTTTAATTGATATTTTATTTATTTATTTTAATTTTATGACTAATAAGAGTATTATCTTAGTATGAATTTTTTTTTTACTATGAATTTCCCATGATTTTCTTAACAGACTTATATTCTATACTTCTGATTTCCCGTATATGGTCCCATGGTGTGAAAGTCGTTCTGGATCCCCTGAAAAATACTGGAACAGACATCATCATCAATATCTATAAAGGTCAGATCGGAGAACGTATGTGGCATTTGAATATTTAACTCTTGACATGATGCCTGACAAGATTTTGAAACAATAAGAGATTATGAAATTTAAATCAAATGAATAGTTGTGTATATAACAGAAAATAATTGAGAGAGAGACAGAACTCTAGTCAGATGAGAGAGCCATGGAGTTATGCTAGAGCGCTCAAGCCTCAAGAGAAGACATGAACGTTTAGTTGTTAGAAATCTTCTATAACCACTTATAACTCCCACTAAAATTGCCAAAATTAACTAATTAACTAAACAGTTAATATATAACAAAATAATTCTCTCCGCTCAGTTAGTCAGACTCAAACTTGTGATAGGAAAAAAAAAAAATTTGGCCCACTTGTGATGGTCAGAATTACAAATAACTAAAAGACTATAAGTTCTGATCTCAACTCAGTAAGTTTTACGTGTACGATTCAAACTATCACATATGCTATAAGGTTGGTATTTAAAATAAAATTGATTGCCCCACTAACTCATTGAGAATAATTATACCATGCTAAAAATATCTCTCTCTCCAACAGTAGTTTTTTTTTTGTTGTCATAAACTTCAAAACTCAATTAAAAAGTGACATGTTCAAAGCTTTCACAGGACTTGCTTTCTTAAATGGAAATCTCCTCGACACATAAATGAACTTAATATTTAAAAAACTTAGTACATAAGGGATACTAAAATGTTTGTTTAGGCCCTGTTAGGTTAATAAGAAAAGACAATCATTTTTCATTCCACGACATTTGAGATGGAAAATATCAATCATATTCTTATAATCAATACTTAATAATAACTCTTTTTTTATTATTAATTATTAGCAATTGAGTGATTTTTGAACACCACGTAATTTAATGAATAAATCATATGATCTTGTGATTTTTAAATAATTTTTCTTATACCATTGCTATTTTTTATTCTTGGTATACTCATTTTTATTTCACTTATCTCTTTCAAATTATGCCACATATGTAATTAATTTATTATTTCCGGAAATCTGAATTCAAAAACTAGTTAGAGATATTTGATTTCTCACCTTCACATAAGCCATGAGCAAATTAAAGGTCACATAAGCTGTACTTGCTGCCTCCATAGTCCCAATTACATATTCAACTTCATATCAACATTTCGCCTAGTAACTTTGGCAAATTCTAAGGCTTTTTTTTTTTTTTGTCTTTTCATGAATCGAAGTGCGTTTTTATTAATATTTTAAAAAAATTAATCATTTATTTTCTATATTGTTTACCAAATTAAAAATCTGAACTTTAACTTATTATAACATAGTTCTTATGATTAATTTTATCAAAATTTAGGGACAATCTGAGCTTTAATTTATTATAACATAGTTCTTATGATTAATTTTATCAAAATTTAGGGATTGGGTCACATTAAGTTAAAATTTAGGAACTTAGTTGCAATCCACTTAAAACTATATAGACCAAATTATGAATTTTCTTTATTTTCTTTTAAAATTTTAATTAAATATTTTAAAAAAATTCCAAAGTTTCTCTCTAAAATAAAGAGTAAAGGTAACAAGTTTACTCACTAAAGATAAGAATCTGCAAAATCTATACAAAAAATTGTACAAACTATTTTTATTTTTAAACAAAATATATATAATTTAAAAAATTGATATATTTTTAAGAAGAATAAAAGTCATTATGTTGAAAGTCCTTATTTGAAGTTCCATCCTATCCATCTTTTCTCATTTTCAATTTCTTTTTTCTTTGCCGATCGAAATATATGTACAATTCTTTTGTCACTTTCAAGTGAGGAGAATTCTTAGAACTACACATATTATATATAGATGCACTTGTAATGTCACACCTACACGCACAAATATTTGATAATTAATATTGATATTCACGGTTTTGTAAGCTTGTTTTGTGTGTGTGTATATACACACACATATATGTATATACACTTCATCAGCTCAAAAATATAAAATATTTTTTGAGGGATTAGATGTTAAAAAATGTAAGATATTTTTTATCTTTTAAGGTGTAACCATTGTCTTTTCTTTTTAAATTATTCCTATTAAATAAATTATTTTATATTTATTTTAAAGTGAAATACTCTATTAAATAGAAATAAATATGATAAGATAAAATTAATTTAAAAATAAATAATTATTTTATTGATGAGTAAAAATCAGTTCAAAAATGTGGAACGAGTATATATTATGATTTATGATGAGGCAGCCCATTGGCATTTGATTTAGATAAATGCTCCGCCAGAAAACGTCCGTTCGAAACAAATTTAGGTGGAGTCATTGAATACAAATGAGACCTCTGCTACTTGACATCAGAGTAGACCAAGAGCTCCCAGACCGAGTCTTCCTACATCAATGAATCTGCATATCAACCACAACTTGCCATCACCAGTAAATTTCGATTTCTGTCTCATTTAATACAATTGGGCGTAGGACCATGAGAGTTCAGTAGAGTAACATGTCTCTGTTTCTTGTTCTGAATTTGCTAGCTGGCCTTCATCAATTATTTGCGTCAGTCATGTAACATGTGTCTATGAAGCCTCCTTCCCCACACATTGGCCTCGCCTGCTTTTTCTTCTTCTACTATCACTTCCTCCCTCTAGTTTCTTCTCTGCAAAATCATCCATGGCTCTTGAAGCAGTTGGCGGTGCTGTTATCTCTTCTTTCCTCCAGGTGGCTTTTGAAAGGCTGGCTTCCCGGGAAGTGCTTGACTTCTTCCGAGGCAGGAAACTGGACGAGACGTTGCTGGACAAGTTGAACATCTGTATGTTATCCCTCAATGCTGCGATTGACGATGCAGAGCAAAAGGAGATCACCAATCCACATGTGAAA